TGGCCTGGACGCACACGTGTGGGTGGGTCACCAGGACTCGCTCCTGAGCGCGCTGGCTCGTTGGCTCCGCTTCGTCGTACTTTTTACGTCTATTAACGCACGCGCCGTGATTAATCGCTCATTATCGCGAGATGTTATCGCGACTGCGATCTTTCGTATACTTTTCGCGAAAGAATTACCCCAAACCTGTTCCGACGCATATCTCGGTAGATATGCGAGGTACGCAATACACGCGTGAGCGTAATCGAGGAAAAGGCGAGAAGATTTCGCGATCCTTGGCGAAAATGGACGAATACTCGACGGTGAATCATCGCGAAGCGAGTGTCGTCCCGTCATTCTTAACTACAGTTCTCCAAAGTTTCTCCCGGGGCTCCCGTCGCTTTCTAGGCCTCAATTATCCTCCTCCGACGGAGGCAGACTGCTTCTCGAGGCGATCGCACCAGCGACAAACCTGACAGATGGCTCATTTGCGACCACGACAGATTCGATTCTTGAAAAGGCTCTAAAAGTTCCAACGCACGCGCGTGAACGCGCAAGTGGAATTTTATGCGAAAAGCAGTGTCATTTTCGTATATTTTCGACACACACATTGCGATTAATTATATACTTAAAGTAGTCAGAAATTAATTGTATGTATTTATATGAGGTGTCTCCCCGACATTATAAAAATTAATTTATACGCATTTTCTTTCAATTATATCACACTGACCAAAAAATAAAAAATAATTATGTTGAATTTGGTAACATATTTCCTTTCATTTCATTTGTTTTCATATTCTGAGGTAAAGCTTAAAAATTCTATAACTCATTCTTTCTTCTATTCGAAAGAAATCGAAGACACTGAGTTGCACTATTAAGATTATTAAATATTAAATAATTCTGAAAGATATATGAAGATGTGTGCAGTATTTTTGTGTGATATAATTTTCCGATAATTATTATTAAATGTTTAAAACATATAGAAGCTCGGTGATAAGATATGATATCTTTGTTACCGCGATTAAAAACACTTACTTATCTGAACACTTAGCTCCATCAGAACTGCTGAATTATATAACAAACTGGAATGAGAGAGAGATCATTGGCCTAACAGAAGCTGAAACGGCCAATAAGACAAAGGTCATCTGTAAATTGATCTCATCCTCTCTACCTCTTTAACATGCTACAGTCCTATTTCTTGCTCAGCTGAGATTCTATTTAGAACTATCTTTCTCGGTTCGAGGTCGTCGAATAGAAACAATGACAGTGCTCTTTCGTTCAAGTTTATTACATAGTTCAATGATTAGAACTCTATTGAGATAACCGAGAGCAATTGTCCGAGTAGATATCTTCCACGGGAATCTTTTTGTTCTTGCAGTCGAGTTTCCGCTTGTTACGGAAAATTCAGTTACACTAAAATGGATTTGTTTCTTCTCCCGGCTGGGTTGCGCTATTCACGCCCCAAAATTTCGCCATCGTCGCAGTAGGTTAAACTGTAGGTTAAAGCTTACCCATTGGAAATCTGACCCTTCGACGGGAGGTCTGATCGTGCCGGTCGCTGGAGACCGGCCTGTGCGAACGAGGTCTGAACGTTTTCGAAGGTTGCCACTTTTTACTGCCGCTTACAAAAGCAGGATTTGCCGTTCCCGATCGTTTCCAGCCGCGACGCCGACGCGCAACACGGAGTACTAAAATAGAAAGTTCCACGGAGACGCGATCGTCATATCGAAGATCGTGACATTTAGCGCATTTAGCGACTGGAGAAGGGAACCTTTAATTTGCATTTATTTATTTCTTTTCCTTCTTTTCACCGCTTTAATTACCTCGCCTTCTGATCAACTCAGTAACCGTCGTGAGAGCTGGCGCTCGTCGTTAACGTGTCTTCAAAAGTCGGTGACAAGTCATTGATTATGTTGATCAGCCGGGAGATTGAGACCTCAATATACGATGTGAGAAACGGGCAGCACGCGAAACGTTGAACACCTTGCAAAAACTGTTTCTTCCTCATGCAAAACTCGCTCGTCACGGTGTGTGCAGTTTGTGCGTTTGTGCCATTGAAATCAGTACCCATAACCCTGCACTTGCAGGGTCGCTTGAGCATGTCAAACATGATCCGTCGCAAAAGACAAATAGATGTAAATAAATAATACATATAATATAAATAATATATATAAAATTTATGTAAATTGATTTATATGTAGTAATGTAAACCAATGAGTAAATGGGTTCACGGTCTAATAACAAGTTTCTCTGAAATTCCCATAAATTTTCCGCACACGACGCTCACGAAGACTGAGGGGTTATTACAATATCTGCTACAACGACGCATACATAAATAATTTTAGTCAGTAATGTAGACAGTTACATAGTCTTAAAAATATTTAATAACAGACGACTTAAGAACTTCTTTCTACAGTGTCTTAAAAACGTTTGCAAAACGTCTTTTAGTCATGTCTTAAGGACCTTTCATTTGATTCGTGCCTCACTAATTCACGGGTGTGAAACAGCTACATATAAAAAATTAAATACATAGTCGATGAGAAGTTGATGACACGAGCTAAGAAATATATACACTGCAATTTATTTATCGCGTATTTGATCATTCAAACGCGGCTCGACCTTTGAAATGATCGAGTGGAAATTAACACGGCAGTGAACGGTCAATCATTCCACCGAGCTTTGTCGGGACAGCGCTAAAAATTCGCTAGACGCAGCAAACCTGCAAACCGGGTGCGTTGAGCAACACACCTCGACCGATATAATTATTCACGAAATAATTAATGAATTTCCTCCCGAGCGAAAAACTAATCTCGCCCGTGCGATGTGTCGCCCGCTGAGCGCTGCGCGCACTTGCGCGCAAAAGCGCGCGCAATTATGCAAAACCGAGTGTATCAACCGCGAAAGACGAACCTGCCGTTATATAAAGAACCGGTATAACGTATCTCTCCGTTCGGATGCGATATATAAGTCGTTACGTCGTGTGCGAAATGCGCGAAATGGAAACTGCAGCGGGTCGCACTTTCTCGAGGACGTGAAGAGCGCCTTCAACAACGACGACGACGACGACGACGACAACAGAAGGCGCACGGAGAAAAGGAGAATCGAACAATGCTCCTCTTAATTACGACCACCTTAATTGCGCGCGTCTTTCTCGCGCACGATGAACGCGAGACGCGAATTTGAGAACACGCGGTCTCGGCATTGTATCGCGCAGCGATATTGTTGCGACGGTACTCGAATCACAAAGTAGACATTAGCGAGCCCGGAAATCTGGATTTCGCTTCCGAAATTCCTCGCGAGGCTCAGCGATCCGCACTAAAGCCACGTTAAAAAACTGAAGTTATTGGTTCTGTGATAAAAGAAAAATTGAGATATAGTAAAGAGACGACGGAAGGAGATTTTCTCGCCTGTCTTTCAATGCGCTCCTCGCTGCGTACCAAATGCGAAAAAGATGATCGCGCAATCAGTGGTGTTACTCAGAGGATTATCTGCTAGAAGAATTCAGGAGTATATGTCGCAAGATAAATGCGAAATGTAAAGTTACGTGGAGATCATGTCGCTGATAAAAGATTTCGTGATAAAAGCAAAGAATGAAACACGCCAGATGTAAACGATTTCCTCGCTCGCCTTTCGATGCGCTGCTCGCTGTTAACCAAACGCAAGAGAGATGATGGAACAACCAGAAGGATTACACGAAGGATTATATAGCAAGAAAAAATTCAAGGATAAATGTCGATTCATTGATCAAGCCAAGCATCTGCGATTATAGGGCCACGACGTGCCAGATATTTTCTCTTCTCTCTCTCTCTCTCTCTCTCTCTCTCTCTCTCTCTCTCTCTCTCTCTCTCTCTCTCTCTCTCTCTCTCCCCCTCTCTCTCTCTCTCTCTCTCTCCCTCCCTCTCTCTCTCTCTCTCTCTCTCTCTCTCTCTCTCTCCTCCTTTCTTTCAGCAAGTCGCGATGCAATCGTCGTCGATTTTCTACACACAGCTTCCGCGTGAATGCCTCACGCGGTGCGAAATGTGTGTCGCGATAATTCTCTCACCGCGGGTCTTGTAACAGATTAATACATGTCTAATCGCGCGGATTTGATTTGCTTTCGCTGTCGGATCGTTTGTCGTCCGATAGGAATTCTAGAACGCAATGAGAATGCGATGCGTTACTCGCGATGTAATTAGCCACGGTAATTTATGGAAATACGAGCAGCGGGCGAGCGATTTTTCATACTTTCTTATTCCTCATATTCGTCATACTTTCTCTGCGATATACGAGGGTTTTATTGTGTTTACTCTCGACCTTTATGCCATTAGTAGTCCCTCTCTCGTTCTCACGTCTGTACCAGCCTCTTTTCAATCCCCTCGAAATTATGTCTGCCGATGAAAAAATTTTATTATACGAGTGTATTTCGCTGTCGCAATACATCGTAAGGAAAATCACGTCGATTTCTTGCTGCATCATTGAAAAGCCATCATCAGCGAGCAGCGGTCACTTTAACGGAATTTTAAAGACTGTTACCGCGTTGTCCGCATCATTTTCATTTTTTGATACCGACAGTAAATGCCGCTGGAAGTATCGTGCGCTGTTTCATAATGTCGCGGTTAACGCGTTCTTGATGCCTGAAATGTGTATAAAACTTCTATTGCAACGTCGAGATAAACGAAAAATGCAATCGCTACAACTATGTGCTCTAACGCACTAAAAAGCTTCCGGTATAAACCGACCTTTTGAAATGGTAAAGTTGGAAGCAAAAACAAGTGTGTTACTCGTACTTATATCTCATATTTTCTAAAACCTTGACTTACAAAAGTGTTTCAATAATTTCTTGTTTTATATAATTATTCTCTCTCATTATATAATTATATAATTAATATATTATATTATATTATTATATTTATCGTTATATATTTCCATTATTTTATTATTATTTTATTATTGATCATTACCTGTCAGTATTTCAAAAAAGTAAACTTTATAATTTTATCCTCAAAGCATGCATGATGTTATATAAATTTCTAATCTTACAGAGCCGCCTCGTGCACGATCCGCGACCTCGTCTCTCGGCTTCCCAGCAAGCCCAGATATTGAGCGACGTGCAGCAACATCAGCAACGGTACCGGCGTCCCATTCCAGAGTCGAAGAACTCGCGGATAGGATCCTTCCAATCGTACGATCAAGTGACACCCAAGTATCAGCAATCCAGCACGCCGTATCCCTCCCTAGCCAAGTACAAGGTTGACCGAACGAAGCAGCAGCAGTTGCAGCAATTGTTGCAGCAACAGCAACAGGTGCAGCAGCTTCTGCAACAGCAGCAGCAGAAAATCGCTCAGCAACTCGGCACTGCTTCGGACTTCGTGAACGGAAATGCACCGCAGTACCAACGACAGCGGCAGCAGTACCAACAGCAACAGCAACAGCAACAGCAACAGCAACAGCAACAGCAACAGCAACAGCAACAGCAACAGCAACAGCAACGGCAACGGCAACAGCAACAGCAACAGCAACCGCAGCAACGATACAATAACCAATACCAGAATAACGGCTTCCAGAATCTCCATCAGGATCTGTCGCAGCCGCTGTTCAGCGACCAACAGACGCTGCAGCTGCAGGAATACCTCGAAAAGCAACGCGAGCTGGAGTTGTTGCAGAAGCAACGGCAACAGTTGCTGTACGAGCAGCAAGAGTTGCGAAGGCAACAGGAGCTGTTGCGACTCCAGCAGCTTCAGAGGCTCACCTCCACTACGCCGCCGCCGTTGCTGTCGTCGCCGTCGACCGCGACATCCGTTCCCATCGCCGTAAGCACCACCCCGTCGTCGTTGCTGTTGTCGTCGCCGACGGCGCGGCGGATCACGCCGTCCGAGGCGGAGCTTTTTCTTAAGGCAATTGCTAACCATCAGAAGAAATATTCAACGAGCACAACAACGACAACGACAACAACAACCACCACCACCACCACCACCCCACCACCCCCGCTTTCTAGAACAGTCGTCTCCAAGGTTCACCAGGATACGTCGGGCATACCGGATAACTTACTAAGCCTGATTCAGGAGCAGGAGAGTCAGTTGGTGCAGCAGGACAAGCCAAGGCCGCAGGTCAAAGTGATTTATCAAACCGACAAGCCCAGCACTGCGAGACAGAGCGGTTCCAGGAGCAAGGGTTCTCCGCAGTCCAGCGAGAGGGAAGTGTTGCTGAAGCAACTGAAGATCGCACTGGCTCAGTCCGGCGATGACGACGTCAGGAACGTTACCACCCGCGACTTGATCTTGCCGAACGGCAAGAAGCTCCAGGTGATTCACGCGCCGAACGGTCTGTCCTCCATCGTGCCGAGCGGCAGCCCCGTTCAGACCTCGATTTCGCCGTCCTCGACGACCACGATAAAACCGCCGAAGGCGATCTTCGAGGAGCTGACCAAGGGCGGCGTGTTGCCGCCAGGCGCCGACTTTGAGATCATCCGGCAGAAGAGCGACGGCAAGCTGGAGGAGGTCGGCAAGGCGCCGATCCAGAACCTGCCGGCGAAGAAGGTGACGTTCGTCGTGCTGGAGGAGCAGCCGGACGGTAGCTACAAGGTACAGGGTGTGAAGGGGAATGCCGAGAAGGAGAGCGGCACCGATGTCGAGTCCATCGTTGAGAGAATCAAAAAGGGTGAGCTGAAGTTACCGCCGAGCTCGCTTCAGCCGACCACTCCTTCCAACCTCGAGCAACACTTCGAATCCAGCATCGATCCCAATCTGGTGTCCACTCAGGGTACAACCAAGACGTCGCACCATCACTCCACCAGCACGCCCACTACGACCTTCAGGCCTACTGTCAGGTCCACCTCGGCCAGGTATAACGAAGGGTGAGTGATAACGCGAGGAAAAACCGATGTTTGTTAAAACTTAAAGCCGTGCAAAGAAAAAAGAGGGACCTTTTTATCTGTTAATAAATTGGAAAAATGGAAAAAAGTCTAAAGAGGATTAAATATAACATATAACATTTATTGATGAGGAAATTTTCTTGCGAAATAAAAGCAAAAGTAAAGACCAAACACGACTAAACTATGAGAGGAGTGTATGAATAGAATTCTGTAAAATATAAGAGAATAAAAATGGGATTTTACATATAATTCTACGATGAATTAGAAACTTTTTATCTTAAATAAATATAAGAAGATTGACTTGTCTTTAGGCGGGTCTTTTCGATATTTGTTAATTTTGTCCGTCGATTAGTCAATCATGCCGACATTGTAGCAAGCGCTGCGATTCGGCATGGAATAAAGAAGCGGTTGTAACATCTTACGTTAAATGGAGATGAAGAAACGGCGACTGTCGGATTAACCGTTTAACGTAACGAACGGACGAACGAACGAACGACGGACAGATGAGTGACGAGCGTGCTGTTCTAAGTGTGGAAATCGAACTTGCAGCAAGTCGACGACAGACTACTTCCCTTATGTCACGGTGTCGCCAAACTCGGTGTCCACCACCGACAAATACGTAACTTCCGCGTCCAGCGTCACCGGCCATGTGTACAACACCTTGAACACCAGCCCGAAAACGAGCCTGTCGGACCACATACCGCGGGTCACCACCAAGTACCCGTCCACCAGGAGTCAATTCATCCCGACGATGGCGCCGGTCAACGAAATCGTGACGACGCCGACATCGCCGGTGACCTTCTCGCACCACACGACCAATTCCTACATCCACTTCCCAGCGAGCCCAACGGCCACCTCGCCAACGTTGAGAGTATCTCCCAGCACAGCGACGTCCAGTTTGCAGAACGAGAACGTCGTTTACCAGGGTACCACGTTGTCCCCGACAGAGGCCATCAAGACCCAGGCATCAACTGAGAGCTTGGCCACGATGCTGAAGAAAGAGGGTCTCTTCGCTATGGCCAAGTACCTGAGGCAGTCGGGACTGGACAATGTGTTGAACGAAACCGGTGAGTTGACTGCAAATACGCTGAAGAAACACGTTGATCATTCTCACGGAAGATGTAAACTATTTATAAAAAGTTTCATGTGCTGAAAAATAATATCTAAAAAATGAGAAATATTTATTCGACCAATACTGGCAATATATTCATTTGTATTAATATACACACATTTCTTTTACTCTGAGAAAAAAATTTGTTTCTTGCACCGAAAAGAAACAATTCTTCTTTTTCTTCCAATATACAAATTTAAAGCGAAAATATTAAAAGTAGTTTGTGTGGTAAAAGATAACTTACTTATTGCAAAAATAGCGTTGTAATATTACATATAAAAAAAATGATTAATTCAAGGGGAGAATGCACCGTAACGAAATATAACTGATATTGATATCAATAAGATTAATATTAGTATATAGATAATAGTATATCGCAGATTTGGACGGTAGATTTTGCTACTGAATTGGTATTAAAAAATTAAGATCGTTAAAATGTAGCACAGTGGGACGTAATTTTGCAAGTCGCATTTTCCACACCGGGCGGCGTAACGAGGCAGTCTGTACTAATATCAGAAAGTTTCGTTTATTAATAGATAATAGGCAGTATTTTATATAATAGACTTGGACAATAGACTTCAATGCTAAAGTGACATTAAAAGCATAAAATTAGCAAGAGACGGCGTGAAGTGGTAAGGTGTAATTTTACAAATCGCGTTTCCCGCAACAACACGACCGCCGCAGGCACGTCCGACAATATTGCAAAGGCGCGATGACTTACGTCAAAGTTTTTCAGACCTAAATGATTGTACAAACGATCCCGTTGGCGCGAGACAGGCCGCGCTGTTTTGCACAATCCGCTACTCGTCGTATCCCTCGCTCCGGAGAGTCATGCAACATTCGTTGGAAAAATGTTCTCACGACTCGCTGCCCATTTCGTCACAGTCGTCTCATCCATCTTACGAGAACAAAGACGCGGTTTACATGGGACCTCCGAAAGTAAAGCACGCGATTTAATTACGCGCTGTTAATAATCGGTGCGACAGCGCCGCTCATGATTCGCCCCCTTGATACAGCGTCGTGTAGGAAACGAATAACGCCCTGCACTTGTTAAAGCGCTCAGATTCAAGCTTGGGGTGGGAATGTGAGTTCTTCAGGCTTTATACGTGTTAATTTGTTGCACGCAGTTGGCTACGTTTCATATGTAAAATAGCGAGGCGTGGCAACATTATAGCGCCCGTCATGGGAGACTGCAATCGTGGCAGTCAACTCGTTAACACGAATCTCAGATCATAATTCAAAATTCAGATCCGAATATCGCGTGTGAGGTAAATTCAACTAATGATTATTAATACGGTATGGCACAGGTATCTCAAAATAAATAAAAAAAAGGACGAGTATAAAATCTTGAGTATAAAATAAACTATGAAGGCTTTAGAGAGAAAGTCGTCCGTTCAGATCCGCCCGGAATAAATTCGGGATGGGCAAGGAGCATAAGAATACATTTAGCGAATTACCAGAGATGCGAGAACAGAGAATTTTCGCTTCTGCCTTACTTTGTTCTAAACTAAATTCCAAATGTAAAATGTTCATTCCGACGTGACGCGAAGAATTCAGTTCAAGTTGAACTTCTTCGCATCAAACGCGTCGATCCTTTCACGCGCTCGTTCACTTACAAACGAACGGCATGTAGCTAACAAAATTGACTTAATTAATTAGCACCGTCAAAAATTGCTCGTTGATCTTTCGCGGGAGATAAATTATCGTGTAGAAATAAAAAAAAAAATAGGTTTGACGCTCTCGCTCCGTATGCCAGAGTGGACTTTATTGGCCGCGTTCGCACGCTCGTTAAAAACAAAAACGAACGGCCATTACTTTCCTGTAATGGCAATTTTCGCAAGTGGCAACTGCGTCTCTATCGAGCGCGTGATTGCTTACACTTATTATTAATCTGCATCGGAAAAGTTGCGTAACGGTGAGCCGCGTTCTCCGCGATGGCGTGCTTTTCCTTCGACGACGACGACGATGACGCTTGCAGGACGATTACAGGACTGGTGTGCGCATAATTAATGCATCGTGCTTTTACGAGTATGGGAGAGAATGTCTGAAGAGTGAAACGTAACTATTGACAAGGATAACAAGAGCAAAAAACTGCGCGGTTTCCGCCGACTCAACGAGATACAGCGAGGATTGCACGCGATTTCTTCGCGTTCGATGAACGTTTCGATGTTGTAAGATGAAATTAATATCGCGACGTGAAGCGAGCAAATTGACTGGAATGTATGTTGCACAAATGCAAATGGGAAATAATTCAAAATTACCAAGTCTCTCGGATACGCATTCAAGGAAAAAGCAAACTCGTGCAAAACTTTGCAACCAATACTTTTGGCTGCCTTGTATCCGACACGACTTGTTCGACTCTTCTTGATGGAGAATAATTTTGTATTCCTCAATGGAATCAAAGCTGTATCACGTTCATAATGCCAGAGGCAAAGGTGTACAAAATAATAATTGTATATCAATTATTATACAATATCTCGCGAATATTTGATTTTTGTGAATAAAAAGATTGTGATAAAGATTGTGATAAAAGATTGTGATAATATATCGAAGGAAAGATCCTTCAACTACTGTTGAAGGATCGGTTACTACCGATCATTTTAAAGAAAAATTTATGAACATTTAACAATCTACAGTTGAATTGTTTTGTAATATTACCAAACAGGTCCATACACTATATTCGTCCCTACGGACAAAGCGTTCAGGACTTTGTTAGTACAACTGGGAGGACCGGAAAAAGCCGAGCAGAAATTCCACGAGAATCCGCGGCTTCTGAGTGGGGTACGGATTATGTGACATTAGTAATTAAGAAAATTAACAATGAATTCTTTCAAAACCGTTCAATTCTAACTGAGAAAAAAAATCAGTAGAACTAGATTCGTGTTTCTCGCTGTAAATATGAATATATCCAAAGATACAAATAAAATAAAATGTATACAGAGTGTTAAAAAAATGGGATCCAGACCTAGACCAATAATTTTTATATATTATTTATGGGTAAATAATAAAAGAATCTCCGATTCTTGCAGCTCCTTCTTCACCATGTAATACCAGGAGGCTTCAGGATCGACTCCCTGCAGGACGAAATGACCGGCGTCAGCCTGGCCGGGACCCAATTACGAGTGAACGAGTATGCGATGCAGGATCACGAGTGGAACGACGTAAAAGTAATGTCGCATTTTAGAATTGTCCATTTTCGCAACGGTAGTATGACTTCGCTCGTCTTCCCAAGATCTTTCGTATCGCAGCTGCGTCCTAATCTCTTTCACCCATCTCCTTAATTAAACTTAATCTCTTCAATGGAATCGTCAATTTTGCATCACCGCCACATCATTCCTCTCTCTCTTTCTCTCTCTCTCTCTCTCTCTCTCTCTCTCTCTCTCTCTCTCTCTCTCTCTCTCTCTCTCTCTCTCTCTCTCTTTCGAAGCGAACTTCTTCGAGGCCTGGCTATAAATTACAAATGCTCCGTGAGTCAGCGCGTTGTTATTTTTATGGACGCCTAGCGCGCTAAGTGCGCTCGTGTTTGCGCGTGATCCAATTTATTGACCTTCATGAATACGCTGGAAATCTCCCATTCACTCGATGAATACACTCGATATTGCTCAATGTGAGATCTCCATCGTGCCGTCGTACCTCTCGCAAGATGCGCCCGCTTGCATGTAATATATGTAAAAAGGTCCGGGATGCATACCGCAATTAGTTCCTGCAACCTCGTGATCGCAAGTTTCACCTTTCGCATTGTTTGCAAATAGGTGACGACGATAAATGGGGCGCGCGTCGCGCCCAATAAACGGGACATCGAGATTCCTCAAGGTATCGCCCACGCCGTCGACCGGGTGATGTTCCCGCTCCCAGTCGGGGACCTGGTGCAAACGCTGCAAGCCGACCGCGAGAGGAGGTTCACTACGTTCCTCAGGATACTCCACGCGTCGGGCCTAGAGGACACGCTTGCAGGCAAGTCGAAAACTGAGGCCAACGAAGGCGTTGTCGCATGACGTACAAAAGAAAGAGAGTAAGGTCGATCTAAAAATCGACCGAAAAAAGAATTCTCTTTTCGAGGTGATCGATACCGCTATACCGACGCAAAAATTGGATTGATCTCTCACGTTTAATCACTGTTGACGAATTTGGCTAATTACGTTGAAGCGTCCGTGATTGCTTTCATCTTCGGCGTCTCACCATAAACCGCTCTTGTAGGACCGAAGACGTTCACCATCTTCGCACCGACTGATTCCGCTTTCACCGACGCGTCTGCGAAGAACGGCGTCCCAATTTGGACCGAGCAGGACGGTCCGGAAGCGGCGAAAACGATAATCTCGAAGCATGTGATCCCTACCACGATTTACACCGCGGGGATGAGGTATTATATCCAAAAGGACACCCTTCGTCCGCAATCACCGGTTCACATCCACAAGAACAGCGGTGAGTAATTTAAACAACTTTCTACATATTCTATACTTGTGATTTTTTTTATTTCAGAAGTTCGACAGCAAAGTTCGATCGAATAATAAATTCTTCAATTGAAATAATTTGATGAATATATTATTAACGACAGATGAAGCAACTTAAATCATTTGTAATAAATTTCAAAGTAATGCCATAATTTTCTAAAACCATTTTAAAGTAATCGTGAAATTTAATAGTAAATTTGAATAATTTTGTTGTAATAATTTTAGAACATTTTCAAAGCTTCTCACATCTTTGAGCGCTAAAATAATAAATTTCTTCTTCGCTTCAGTTTTCAATTAATTAATAATTATATAATTATTATTATTAATTAGATCATTGAATATCGTGTGTCCTTATAAACATTAAGCAATGTTGACTATTGTTTGATGTCTGGCTATCGTTTACTTCGACATTTTTAATAAACAGTCATGGGCTAATAGAATGCGCGTTGTCACATTTCAGGACGAGTACGAGTGAACGAAGCACACGTCTTAACGCATAACGTGCCGGCGACGAACGGAGTATTGCACGCGATCGACAGTGTTCTGTAAAACGGCGGCACATAATGAACCGCGCAGGTGATATTCATAATATTAGAACGCATTGTGCACGGCAATCTCTCGAACGATATGTATGCATCAACGAGCGTGAAATCCCTGTGTGAGTATGATCAAATGCACGACGAATCAACTGGCAGAGTATCCAATTCAATCGGCAGAGTCACGTCGCAAATGGATCCTCGTTAATCGTTCAAATTAACGCGTTAATGCCATAGATGTGCATGTCGAAATATTAAGACAAAGAACGAGACGTCACCTTTAACGTGTACGCACGTGTATACATACTAATTTATACGAAATACAGAGTGTTCAAAAATCTTTGACACAGCCATTGCATATAGGCGGAACAGGTCAAGCCGAAGAGGAAAGCTATGTACTGTTTTGCAAAGTTTCTCAGGACCTCTCAACAGCAATCAGTATCAACTGATAATACGAGCCCAAGTGAGCAGCGATTGATACGAGAAAGAAGTACGCTTTGCTCTGGATAAATATTGCAAAAGCTGCATAATGATAAATTTCCTCTTCAGTTTGACCTGTTCTATGACTTATATACAACAGCTGTATCAAGAATTTCCAGACATCCTGTATATATGCATATATGATATATGATTTGTGTGTGTGCCATGTGCACAGGAGAAAAAAATACGGACAATTAATCGCTATTGTATAGAGTGGTAACGCAAGACATGCTTAGTATTATCTTATAGCTTGTATTATTTTATAAATAAATGTACAGAATCTATTCCCTACGATTATTACATATATTTACAAGAATATTACCTCATACTTCTAAACATTCTCATTAAGGTTCATGTTTTCCCGCCGCAACTATTTTGAATTATGATGACAGAAGCGAGGAAATTCATACTAAAAATTGCTACAGATAACGAAATAAAAAGATATATCTATGGAACGGCATTTCACTTTTACTTCATCATACTTTGCAAGGACTGTCAGTGTGTATTTTCTCGTTCCTGACGTCATTAATAAAGAGATCTGCGGCGAAGAAGCAGGAACTTAAAATAAAAAATTTTTACATCCTATTGTATAATAAATAATAATCACTTTAGAGAATTATTATGCTCTGGTTCGTTTAATATATACAATATAACGAATAGGTTGCTTTCAATGAGCAAGCGACAGTTAATTTTTATATGAAAGTTCAAGCAAGACTAAGTTCATCGGCGATTCGTCTAATAATTCGTCTTATATTTCTTAATCTCCACCATGATATGGTGGATATTCGTGAGTTGCGTGCGCGCGTTCGGCGGCAAGATCTTATGAAGACGATGATAGTACTGTACCAACTGCGTCATCGCACGTTGCACCAGTATGCCGCCTAGTACGAGACTGGGAAACGAGCGCAACACTTCCCGGTATATCTCCTCCAACGCTCGTTTCCAATTGTTCGTGAAGGATTGTACAAGAGCTAGCGCTTTTCCCTCCTGCCGTTTCAAGTCGTCGGTCTGACCCTTTTCCAGCAAGACCTCGGACTCCTTTAGCAACTGAATTATACCGCCAAAGTGCGGGCTCAACACCTCTTCGACGAACTCGACGGAACACGTGTTCAACTGCTCGCGGAAGCTCTCCGCTTCCTTCGAAGGATCTTGCGTTCTCTCCTACGATCCATACACACCTTCTATCAAGAAAGTTACGTACATATACTTTATATATGAAATAAAATTTGCCTTACCATTAATACACCAAGCACCAGATCGCAATTGTTGATGTGAAATACTAATTGCTGCGTTCTGCTTGGAAAAATAGCCGCCATTTTGAACAAGAAGCACTGCACAGCTTCCCTCAGTTCTGCTAATAACTGAGTTGCCCCTTCGCAAGGAAATCCTTCGACTATACTTACCATTGCAGCGCTGAACTCTGCATATCTCCTAGTAATCTAGAAATTTGCGATTTCACAGAATCATGAGTTGCATAAATATATTACATTGCTGTATATGATGCTATATATAACAACATTATGAATAATAATATATAGACACTTACATAATGCGGACCAGTTTCCTTGTTGAATTTTATCGGGTCGCACATTTGTATACTCTTGATATTTAATTGAAACACATATACGAATCTAAAATGTGAATATAAATTTTCAAATCCTAACATACCATAACATTGCAGCATTTTAAAGCAATTATTGTTACGATTATTTTTGTATTGTAAATAGGTTTAAATACCTAGGCCAAATTATAGCTGTCAAAGTTTCCCAGTGTTTATCCAATGCTGGTACTGCTCTCTTATGACACGTTAATTGATAACGCATCACTAAATGCCAGCAAAGGAACAGGGCAATTGTATCGTAACAGTCGTCAACAAACGACTGCAAGTTCTTAATCATGAGATTCAACGTTTTCCCCATGACCTGTCGAGAAAATTTAGTTTAAATCTATATATCTGGTCAATCGAAAAGTTTTGTAGAATACAATCACTATCCAGTTTGGCACTGAAAAAAACTGAATCAACATTTTTAGCTAACTTAATATCTTATGAATCAAACAGATCATTGTATATTATTAACTTACCTGATTAAAAATATCCAATGCCTGCATATTACGGACTTTGAAAAACTCAGTGAGGAATAGATATTCTCGGCAGGCGTTGTCAACCAAAGCATATTGTTCACTTCTAAACAAAGCTTCATAATGATACTGTAAATCACAGTATTAATTATGCGATATGCTTTTTAGGAAAAATTATATAAATATTACAGTCACAAATATATCTACATATTTATGTAGTAAGTAGTATGTAAGTATATTTATATACTTACTCGCATCTTAGAAGCAGTGTGTGGAACAATTATGGGTGCTTCTAATTGCGAAGACAAAACTTCACCCCTTGTGTCTATAGAAAAGACAGTACCTTTATGTTTTAATGTTGTTTTATGAAACATGCTTTTACCTGCTGTATCTTCAACTCCCATTAAATCATCTTTCGAAGCTTTCTCCTCAAACTTATAAAAATAAACAGTGTAATATTATTTCATTTTATTTAAATAATACTGATTTTTTTGTCTTCTGCTCTTACCTGCAATTTTATTAATCTTGACGAATAAGACTTAAAGTACGAGTAGTATATTTTGCTCATGGTATCAATGTATTCTCCACAGATTTCCTCTGCCACATTTCTTTCATTTGCCATAATAAACTCAAAAAAGAATTTATATTTCAACATATTGTTCTGTGGCACTTGATAATTCGTCATTGGCTTCCTGAACTTATAAATTTGCTCCAGCAGGTAAGTTCTAATTTTTGCCATTGCTTTCACCTTCAGTTTCTCTAATATATCCTTTACATCAAAACATGACTTTGCTTCTTTAAAACTTTGTTCTTTCACAAAGTTAATTTTATGATTGAGAGTTTGCAGCTGAATTAAAAATTCCTTCTCAGTCACAGGACAATCCATAATGCCTCTATCCACAGAAATTCAATGCATATTTCTATAAATGTCTAAATAACATTTTCTTGTTAAATATTTGAAAATATTCCTTACGCAATTAGAGTTTCTGATACAGTCATGTCCTCAATAAACTGACTAAGTGGACCACGTATTAGCTGTCTATTAGACAGCTGCTGACTCATAGTAACAGATTTACGTTGCAAGGAAAGTATTTCTGAACTAATACTACCTAGATCTGACTGAAAATTCATCAACATTGACTCCATTTTCTGTAAATAAAATATAGCTTTCTTCAGAAATTTGTTTCCCTGACAAATTTTTGCTCATTAATGATGTTCCTTTATTATATAAGTCATACATTACATTTTCATTTTTAACGTAAATTGAAATTCAAACCAAGAGACTCTTGTAAAATAACATGTAATAGATAATATATAATAAATTAATAGCAAAAAATTAACCTCCAAAATATTGTCACAAGCGGCGATCTGATTGTGCAAGCTAGCTATATTTTGACTCTCCTTAATATAATCTTGGATTGATTTGTTCTCGACTTCTTTCAGCTCCTTTTCGATTTGCCTAGAATATTGACGCAAATCGGTGCCAGTTTTGAGAACCTCCTGGACGACATCGTCACCGAGATCTTGAGGCAGTTGCTCTTCGTTATTGTCGAAAATATCAATTTCAGCCATTCTCGAATATTTCATAAATTTATGCGTTAATCAAATAATATATTATTGCATCGAAGAAGCACAATCACTGTGTCTTGAAGTAAACAGAATTAATTTCTAATTGTCAAATTTCTCCATACAACCGCTCGCATAAATGCAAGGACAGGAAGGTTAGGTCATGTCAATTAGACAAGGACAGACAATCGATCACCGTCCTTGTCTCTCCTTAACTTTTGACACTTCGCAATGACACTTCTGTATATTGGTCTGTTCTTTTTAGCTGCACTACTGAACTGGTGCAATAAGTTAAAGTGAGAAAAAATATAGTTGTCTCATTTTAACTTATTGCACTAGTTCCGCAGTGTAGCTAAAAAGAACAGACTATATGTGTTTCGGATTGCAATTTTAGTATTATTTTAACTTCGAATTATTAACTTAAGGAATGCCAACGTGTGTATATATTTAAAATAAAAATTATTCTAAATTTTCCCACATCTTGCAATTTTAAGAGACATACATATATACATATTTGGCCTGTTTTCTGTATTAATAACTTTGGTATTAATAACTTTTGGTATTCATAGTCGAATCTTATAATTAAGATCGTCTAAGAAGTCTGTTTTCAGGGAACATAAAAAGAAATAGATGTACATCTAGGAGTTAGTGAAAGGGAGAGAAGAAGAGAATAAGTGCAAGTTAGTGCAGCCAGTTCAGCAATAGAAAACAAACTTAAGTTTATTTTCAGATGCTGTACAAATTACTTGATTGGCTACGAGATATCTGAAAGTGAACTTAAGATGATCTTAAATATAATGGCCATTCTATGACTGCGTTCCGATATTCACTGCCAGTACTGAAAATATATACTTTATGTCACATATATTATAGATTTTCAATACTGGCAGTGAATATCGGAACGCAGCCTATAATAAGCTATTAGTCATACACATAAGAAAATAAACCAATCAAAATCCTCCAATCTATAAATGAAGAATTCCAATTGGTTTATTTTCTTATGTTTTATAACTAATAGCTTATTGTAGAATGGCCATAAGACTACTGGCCTTTGATATCTTCCGATACCTTTTTCCCGTTATTCCATATCTGTTACCATTCTTATGCTTATTTCGAGCTGTTTCATATTTCGGCCACGATATTCCTAAGAGGACGCTAGAGGATCCCGAGCCTTTCCCTGTCGCGCGGTCCGTTCATCGGTGGTGCGACAAAGAGAGAGCGATTGATCGTCTGTACTTGTCTAATTTACTATCTCTTGTAGGGAAGTAGAGTGAACAAGAACCGTGCACGCTTTGCCGTTACCGTCAGGACGGATGTAGTGTGCACAGATTTTCTTAGGGGACGCGACAGAATCCAAAAGCGTTTCAGGTTTCTCTCTGCCACTATAAGTATAGAACAAGTAAGGCATACTGTCAGTCATATAAAAAAAGAATATAAGAGATAGATATAAGGCTAGAATTAATTATTCAACAATTGTGATTATCAATATTTACGTATCAATTGAATATTACTAATATTCTAACAGTGGATATGGAAGACTATAGCGTAGAATTAGATCCAGAAACTGAACTTTACTGCACGTTGTATTTATTCGTTGATGTGACGAATATCATCGAAATATATGAAAAAATCATCAATGGCAAACTTTCTTGTTGCATAACGAAAGCTTCTCTCATAGTAGACGCTTTACAAGCGGTAGTAGCTACCAATAAAGCCGCTCTGAATGCTAAGCGAAATCGTTTAACCACTAAAAGTGTGTACACAGAGATACTATTTTGCTTGTCAATGACGAAAAATATATCACGCTCTCTGAGTGCGTTTGGTATCAGTGATAATGACAAGAATATCGTAGTGATATTAATACACAAGCTTGACGAAAAACAAACAATGTCAGCAGATGTCTTGTGTAGTATCAAAGGCGAGAGGATATCTATTTCCAGGATACAAGAGTTCACCGATGTAAATCTTGTGAAAAAGACTTACAAAATCAACGAAGATGAATTGTGTATTTCTGATCTGACTGGCGCTGTAGTATCAAGAATCAGTTGCAAAGACTTTATGTTAATAAAATGAGATTAAGAAACAAAGTAAGAAGTTATCTAATAACCCACTTAAGAACAAATCTTTTGCTATTAAGATGAGAAATTTTATTTGATATATATATGTATATATATAGTTGAAGTGCATATAGAATATATAACATATATTGACAAATAACTTATATACTTACATTTCCTTCTTATTGTCATGTTTTCATTCATGATTGCTTTTTTCTTGAATTTTCTTGAAATCATGTATTATAATATACGTGAATTCTACATATACTGGAGAATAATAATTAACTAACCTATCTTTCAAAAAAATATCGATACATTGTAAAAGTTATGTAGTTACATAAATATATATGATTAAAATATCTTGATTAAATTCTTGAATCTGTATTAAAACATATCTCTCATCATTTCCTCATCATATTCGTCAAGATCATCTCTGCAAACATAAAATTTACAGTAAATGTTCAATTTGAATTTAGAATTTAATTTGTATCTCAAAACTTCACACGCTTCATTGGGATTAAGGTCTAGATATCAGCTAGTTTAAATGGTGCAAGCTGGCTGCAAATAAAAAAGATATGTTAAGGAATAAAGCTAAGTGAAGGTGAGGGCAAGATAAAGAGGAGGCTAGTATATGTCAATCGGAGGATATAGTTTTGTCTTTTTCGTTTTTATTCACTCATAAATAAGGCCAAAGATGCGTAGAAAACAATTGGTATATCCGCAGGGACACAGTACATGTCAGATCCTGCAGAAGCAAAGTAGTAGATTTAAAGACAGCACCCCTTTTTTTATAAACGCACGCGTTGGATTTGTTGTTGACACTCTTGGCGTACACAGGTTTGTATTATGAGTACCTTGGTAAGTTGCACATCTCGCAAGTTGCTAAATCTGCAGCATTAAGAAAAGTGCAGTGGGAGCAGGTCCAGAGAGCTTGAGGTCGATCTGCAGGTGGACTCGCTGCCATAGGTTCTGTACCAACACCTGTTCCTCCTCCATTACCCTCTACAACTGCAGAAGATGACGTTCTCGAGTTACTGCCCAAAGATACTTGCGGTGAACGTGAGGTGGAGGATGCGGATATTAATTGCTCCACTGTTGCCCAATGTTCTGAATGTGCCCATTTCATTGCTTTCTGTTTATCCTTATTGCGAATAGCTTCAAGCAAAGGCAACATGTAGTCCTATAAAATGGAGGAATATGATGATAATACATGTACAAAGTATATAAATAGATAACAAGAGTAAATAATAATAACAATTTGATACCTTCATAGGATACATATCCATGGTGGCAATGAAGAGCAGCAAATGAAAATCAGAAGTTGCTTCCAAGAATTGATCTGCATTAAACTGTTGCATATAAGTGCACAACGCACTAAACTCTTGAACTTGTCCATCAATTTGCCTTAAATAAAAAAGCCTTAGTATAATTGCAACAACTATTGAACACATACACAGTATAATATACTTATAATTAACAACTTATTGTTCCATCTGTCCAGTTAAAAAAAAAATATTAATATATAAAACATAAAACTAAAAGTTATTAAACTTTTAACTTTTAATTTAATTTTTAATTAATTAACTAATTGTTACCCAAAGCTGGGACCATTATACCTGTTTTCGACTGGAAATGGAGTGATTTTGTCATCCGTGAAGAAAGTAAATTGAGGAGTAAGCGGTGTGGATGCAGGTACATCCACTAGCAGATATTCTACTGGTAAAGGTCTCGCTAATCTCGACACCTCGTTCCCATATGTGTCCTTTTCCTAAAAATAAATCTATGCTATATATATACACGCACATACATATATACATATGTGTGTGAATTTTCTGTTTCCCTTTCAAAATTCGCTCAATGTTTTAATCAATTTTATATGATCGCACTGTACATCATATAACTATTCCCTTCATTCATGTCGCATTGCAATACGAAATATGCGCCATCGACGATGTTTCGTCCTGCGCACATGATAAACATCGAGCCGCGCGCAGCGGTAAGGGTGACAACGATGACGACACAACGACGAGGAAGGAGAACACTTGGCGGGGGGATTCACTGGAAGAGATATACCTATATGGGATGTTGAGGGATGAAGACAAATGGATGGAGCGAGACGAAAAGGGATCGGATACAAAGGGAAGAGGACAGAAACAACAGATGCTGTAAGCGACTAGCACGCCCCGCAGTGTGTCGGTCGGTCGGTCGTCGCCATGCTAGTGGATAGTTTAGTGAACCAAACATCATGATGTGGCAAAACGTTCGAACGAGCTGACGGCTCGTAGTAGCCACGCCGTGTTTGAGTCGGCGCGCCGCGTCGGTAATGTTATTGCTACACTAACTCATTACGTTCAATAAACATGCATAAACACGTACGCGGAAAATATAAAAAAATATATGTACACACACATATATATATATATATAAAGCGAGCAAATATACTAGTAGATTTACATGAATAAAGAAAGAAAAATAAAATTCAGCATACGCGACTCCATGGCAAAAAGATTGCAACGAACACGATAATTGCGACGACTAAGGCGATAAAAACAAGGACGACAACGACGACGACGACGACGACGACGACAACGACGACGACGACGACGACGACGACGACGACGACGGCGACACGACGACGACACGACAACAAAAATTGTATTAGTAGTGATGGTTGCTCGATGCGAGCGGAATCGCGCAATGCTCCGGCTCAATGTAAATTAAAGTCGCCGCCAAATTGCACGTTGGTTGAACGAACGTCGGCTAGTGGACATCGTCGTGGCATGCATCGCGAATGATGGCAAGTGCCAACGATCTGCCTCTATAACGCGGCAAGGAAACGATCGTGAAACACGTATATACGGTATGGTAGCGTTTACAGATCACCTATTGTTGGGGGAGAACGGTGGGGGAGTGCGAAAAAGACGTCGGAGCGTCTGCCAATGTGTATGTGTGTGTGTGTGTGTGTGTGTTATGTGTCGCTTACACATGCATGAGAATGTCTGTATAGATGTGACAAAAAGGACAAAGTCGACGTGCGAGAGCGAGCGAAAGGGAGAGAGAGGGTAGCGGGAGCGCGAGCGAGAGAGAATGAGCAGTAATGCGCGCGCGTCAAGAGACAGAGGGAGAGCGAGACGTTCCCGCGGAATCCGTTCCGTCCGACACGCAGTAGTCCACGAGCGGTTTTCGACCTGAATGTTGGCGCGCGTCACGAATCGCGACGGACACGGCGTAGCTATCGCGTGTAGCAGGTAAGCAGGCGCGATAATGAATTCCATACATCACGCGTACACTGGACTGCCGCTCATTATCACGGCGTTGCACTTTGCGTACGAGCAGCACCGGAGCATCAACGATATCGCGAACAAGTGCCGCGACACCCGATGCTTTTTACCTCCTCTCTACCTTTATCCTCCTGGAGGACATGGTCCTCCCCACCCCCACCATTTTCTGCTCGGTGCGCGCGAAAGAGGCATCGTGTGTGTAACGAATGGCGAATGCTCCCCGAGGCGTCGCTGCTCCGAACTCCCCTGCGATGGTTTTGGCGGGATTTCCGACGCATGCGCGCGAGTGCGTATACGTCGCGAATATCATTCTTTATCTTCGATCTTTCGCGACGGGGCTCTTCTCGAAGCACTCCGTTGCATAATGACGTTATCTATCGCGACGCGATATCATGACGGATGAATATTGAATCGACTACGTAACCTAACCTAACCTGACCCAACCTCGACTCTAACCTAACCTAGGTTAGCCTAACCTAACCTAACCTAACCTAACCCAATCTAACGGGGATCTCGCTCGTGCATGCACGCACGCAAGCAAGCATACGCACGAGGTCGGATCGGTCCCTGGAATATGGCGAACGCGCCAACGAAGCTGCAAATTCGCGTCCGATAAATCCGGGGACGTCGCGGCACTAACACACTCGTGTACACATACGCGTCCGTAAAAACCGGTATACCGACGCTGTAAGAACTACCTGTACACAGAAAATCTGCATCAGTCACCTGCGATAACAGGAAGTGACGCTTACTATTCTTACGTGGATCACAGGTCAGTTTTTTTTTATCCGCGTTATATCGCGCTTATTTGCATTTAGTTTTGTATCTAGAGCGAGAGGAAAGCGTATATCCAAAAAAATTTGACTGAAGAAGAAAAGAGAAAAGTCGCGAGGGAATGTACAGATACAGTGAGAGAGAGAGAGAGAGAGTGTGTGTGTGTGTGTGTATGTGTGTGTGTGAGAGAGAGTGTGCGCGCGCGCGTGCAGTTAGAAGGAACGAACCTTATGTCACGCGTGACGTCAAAGGGTTAAGAAGTGCGAGCGCGTCGTCTCCACGGACGAGTTCATGTATGTGACGCTTTCCCGCCTTTTCACGACTCGGCCAGCCAGCCGCGGTCTCCGTCGTTCGCGGCAGGAATCGAACGGCTGTGCGGCGAATGTTTACCGTCGTCACGTGTATGTATTGCGCGTATCGATTCTCCCGTTTCCCGAATCGCAGTTCTCGCATCGACGCGAAAGCGAGCGAGCCAGTCAGTTAATCGCGACGACGCGCCTGATAAACGCGATAAACAATACTCGCGACGACGAGACGGCGAGGGGCGATGATGGTGTTGCCGCGCGGGACACGTTTATCAACGAGGAAACTTAAACGATGACTTGATGACGCACAGAGTGCGATATGGGTCAAGGAATCGCACGGGCCGACGCGGACTTGAAATCGGGCAAGTCCACAGTGGTAGCGGAATGACAGACGAGTCTACGGCGGTCGACTCGACTCGGCGGCGGCGACGGCGGCGGCGCATGGATTGTAGTAATTGCAACAAATACTAGAGAAAGATTTCCGGAGGAATGCTACCGTAGTAGTACGCGCGCCGTGTGCCGTGCGGATGTGTGTGCGTTTGTGACGTACGCGCGCGAGAGGGAAAGAGAAAGAGGCGGACAGTATTGTGTATTCCGAACGACGTTTTGTTTACATAACGAGAGATGATGATTCGACCTTTGAGAGCTATTCGCGCGAGCGACACATAAGATTCCGTGAGTGAATCGACCGTCCAGTCCACTACACACGGCAATGGTGATTGCGAACGGTGTGAACGTTCGTTCGACTCGTTCTCGAAAACATGGCAACTATAAGAGATCCTCCTTGTTTTGTCGTGTATAGCATGAGGCATAGATCTTGCACGCTTCGATCATTCATGTCGCATATCATCTTATCATTCACGTGCCGCTCGGAGGAAAAGGAGGAGGAGGAGGAGCGAGCAGGCGTTACGTGTAACTCACAGAACGCAAGTCGCATGAGGATTTTAGAGGTTAAGCTGCGTAGGCGCTATGGGACCGAAACGCCATCGCTCACGTCAGAGCACGAGACTGGCGTTACCTGCGTTCACGATTCGTAAGATTATACCCGAATTATCCAGCCCGGATAAATTCAACGAAACGATGAATGGGACTGATGTACGATCATTCCGTTGCGACGAGTGACACAAAACTGTCGGACGGAAGTCGCGCGCGCCACGACTTGAGCTGCGAAACGAACGATCATGTTTCTCGCGTAAAGATGTGCCCGTGTCTCTCGATAAAATTCAGAACTATCATCCGTTCTCCGAAGAGCATTCCTCTTCCTGCAAAGGACACACGATAGCTTGTTCTCTTGTTGGTACTCATCTCGGCTTTCTTGTTGCATGCTAATGCTGGGACTTCAATTTAACGAAATCGCGATCGTGCGCGAATTGACACACACATACACACACACACACACGTTATCGCGATGTCCACACTTGTAAATATATTTACATTCAACATCGACAATCACGATTACGACACCGGGTAACCCCGCGTTGCTGGAAATTGTATGTTCGCATTTCGTCGATATTCTTCGTGAGAAAACTCGCTGCTTCTCGTCTTTGCGTTGTCGTTCCCTCGCGCGATATAACACGCACATGTGCGAAGTCGCGAGAGAAAGAGAGCGAAAGGAACAAAGATATGCACGCTTGTTATGCTTCCAGATGCTGGATCCGAGCGTGTTAACGGACCTGGAGGAGCTGACGCTTTGCAGTTACTGCAAGCAGAAGTACAATGACGCGGAGCAATGTCCCAAGTATCTCAGCTGTAAGCATTACTTCTGCCTGCGCTGCATCGAGAGCAAACTATTCACAGAAAAAGCAACGAGACGCGAGGTGTTGTGCGCGCATTGCTGGAAGACGATGGACCTGGGTGACAAGGAGCCGGATGCTCTGCCGACTCACTCTCCTCTACTTGCCCTCGCTAACAATCTGTCCCACCTCAAACTCACGACGAACAACGCGCCCGGCAAGCCCGGTGATAAGGAGAGAAAGGTAGTGTGATCTGTTGGTCGATCACTCGAATCGCGAGATCTTTTGCCTGTGCCTTTGAATATTTATAATGTTGTTCAACATCCGATGTTGAAACATAGCTTGCTATGTGAGAGCACGACTGTCTGCTTCAAGCGCGGCCGTTTTTGTCGAGTAATCGCAAGTACATGACTGACCAAACACACGATTGCGAGTTTTGATTAAGCTACCAATCCGATTCATTTGAATTTAATATGCGCGTCTCTATTGCCAAGTTACTTATATGACTGTAAGAAGTTGAAATGGTGAATCGAGCCGATGAAAATAGCAATGACACGATTCGAAAATTGTAAATCAATTCCACGTTTGTCCCGCAGTCTATTCTTACTTGGTTCCCTGGCGAACGGTACATCAGTTTCACGTGTGATTATGCTCAATTAGTCGCGAACGAGATTATTCGAGAGTGCGACGCGATCGCTATGGCGCGATATATGATGGGTGCAACAAATTCCCGTCGATGCCGAGAGGAATGGGAGAAGAGTATCCGTTGAAGAGTAAAGCAATACGCGACAGAGAGAGACGTGCGTTACAAACGCGAAGCCATAGCAAAGCGGAATTGTTCTAATAGTAATAGGATGATGTTGTAAGAGCGCTGTCATTCTTTCCTCCCGCCACGTGCGGACGGCTTTCTTTGAAATATGATTTCTCTGTCGTGCCTTTTGTCTCTTGTTGTACATTGCGTTATGAAAAATTCCCTCTTAACCGGAGTGTGCTGAACGTTCGTGCGAGAAAACGTATGGAAGAGATTCGTCACACCTCTTAATATTTTGTCACAAGAGATTGTAAATCTCGCACTTAAGAGTCGACGTATCTAGCGGTCGCTGATGGACAAATTAACATTTTTCGCAGAGTGAAAACTGTCATACGCACGGGATGCCGTTGGCATTGTGGTGCGCAACATGTTGCACGGCGCTCTGTAGGGCGTGTGCGACTCCGCAGGAGCACCCGGGTCATCAAATCAAGTCGCAAACCGATGCCAAAGAACAGCTCATATCTGACGTAAGTCTCTCGTTTCGCGCTTTCTAGTAGTTTTCTCGAGTCAGGACTGACTCGGCGAAACTGACCTCGACTGAGAGAACCGTGAGCATCGGTGCGAATCCGGCGTAAACAAGGTGAAAAATGCGTGACTTTGCTCGTTTGTGCAGGTACAACTGGAGTTAGTCGCCGTAGGTAAACTGTCGACGGAGATTCAAAGACTGGCTATGCAGCAACGCGAATTTCTTATCAAGGTGCTGGAAGCGTGCGTCACGCTGAAGACACATGTGGAGACAGATCTGCAAAATGGTTGGAGCCACTTCCCCGAGATAACGGATGCGCGCGAAACCTTGGGCAAGACTAAGGCCGGCCTGCAGATGAGCGAGACACCGGGCGACGTGTATAGTCTGCATACGCAACTTGTGCTTGAGAAACAGAGGTTACAGTCCAAGTATCAAGAGATGATGCTACAATGCCAGCTAGACGATCTAATCGGGAATTCCGGCGTGATCTTCGACTTCGCGCTGCTGAAGCAGGCATTAGCTGGCATTCATACCGGAGATCCGATAGTCTCTCAAGGAATGGTGGGCAATAGCGGTGGCGGTCGATTGCAGAATCATCTGGCGGCTTCACAGAATCCGATATTATTTCTCGCGAATTATTGTATGTCGCAACTGTACACGCGTCATGTTGTCAGTAAGCAACAACAGCAGCAGCAGCAGCAGCAGCATCACATGCAGAATGGTACGATCGAATATCATTCGACTATTATGCCGCAACAGCAAGCACCACCGGGCTCCGTTCATATCCATCAAGGCCCACCACCGCCCCCACCGCCGGTCCAAACAGGCCCGCCGCAGCAACTTCTCATTCCACCCGGATCACCGTCCGTCAAACCCGTACCAACCGCGGCATCCAACGCTATGCTACATCCACAGCAGCAACAGTCGACATTCATGACCGATACGGTCGGTAGCAGCAGTAGTGGCGGTCTGGTAACCGTACATTCGTCCCCTCAAGCACCGTCAAGTGGAATAACGGCGGCGAGTCTACGCGGCCCTACGAATCCGTATCCTCTGTACTACTTCAATATCCAAGTGAACGGCTCGCCGCATGGTCGCATCGTGATCGAGGTGAGACCGGACGCGGCGCCAAAAATGTCGAAGAACTTCAGTGTGCTATCGACAGGAGATGTTGGTTACAGCTACGAAGGCTGCACAATATTCCAATGTTGGGAGGGTGAGTCCGTGATCACGGGCGACTTTGAACAGAACAATGGCCGTGGCGGACGTAGCATATTCGATGAGGGCTACTTCATGCCGGATGACACCAAATTTCCAGCGGTGAGGGGCGCGGTGGGGATGCGACGTACGCAGAAGCGACACGATAACCTAGGTATGGTTGGCTCGCAGTTTCGTATAATACTGCAAGAGATGCGCGGCTTCACCGGCATTTTCGGTCACGTGGTCGAGGGACTGGAGTTAGTGGAGAAGATATCTACGTTCGGCGACCAGACCGGCAAGCCTACTAAGAATATTCTAATCACGAAGTGCGGTAAATTGTAACAATTACGCACGACGCGGTTATCGCGCGGTTGTTGACGTATCGTATACAGTTTCAGGGGGTTTCAGAATGTTGATTAATACCCCGTATATAAACCAGCCGTATAACGTTTTCCCGTTGTCAGAAGATAGAAGAGAAGGAAGTCGCGACGGTATGCCCGAAATATGCGACCGTGCGCGCGTGCGTTCGGCTATAAAAAAAAAATATGTAAGGGAAATATTGAAAAAGAGAGGGAAGAATCGCGTATATGTAATTGTCTAACGACGGGAGACAATTATTATTATTTTATTATTAAACATCGCCGTAGATGTCCGCTCCGGAGGTACCGTCGCGGTGATCATTAGCTCTACGAATCCTCGAACGCTCTGTACGAGCCACGCAACTTAATTAACTGTTAACAATAGTGTCTAAAAAGAGATGTCGAATCTATATTTTTAAAACGTGGGCGCGTGTGAGAGAAGATATAAAAAAAAAGAAGAAATAAAGATCCATATTTTGCTATTGACCGGGAATCTGACAAGATTCTGTATTTAAACAATAACGACGATATGATCGACAAAACACACATACGTACCTCAGAGATCGATCGTGATATCGATTACGACTTCTAGCTGATATGACGATTTGTTTTTTTAGAAAGAGAAAGGTCCGACATTTATTTTGGCTATCGACGTTATTCCGCTATTACTATATATCGTTATTTATAGTTGATAAAGCGTGTCGCGCGTACCGGGACGAGATAGATAGAATGAGAATTCGCTGTGCGACTCCACAGTATAGTTCTCCATCTGCGGGCGCAGCTGATATTTTAGGGCGTAGATAGATGAATAAACAACAAGAGGCAACACGAGTAGACATGGAATTTAAGTATAGTAAAAAAAAAAGTCGAGAAACGAGCTAACTGTATACGCGTGTACAGACCAGACATACAGACACATATATGTGAGCGCACGCGCATGCACGCACACAGTATCCGGTTCCATTCGTATATCGATGAATAACGCACGTTGAATATATCGACTCTTGTGATTCTCTCGTGGATGACAAACAGGTACATACGCACGCGTGCGCGCACCTTTGCAACTTTGTCTAAAAGTCGTGTCTCACAATTCCGTATACGCAGGCCTCGTTTAGAATATTTAGCTAAAAAGACGACAAAAAACGGCGATACGTAGCTAATATAAAAAAAAGTTAATCTACGTATAAAGCACCTGTCGACATAGGTCACGCGCGTTCTTCCGTTCCAGGATTGCGAGAAAAGGAATCAAAAGGGGAAAAAGAGAAACAAAAAGGAACATTCGTAACTCGCGCGCGCGCGTTTCGCGAGGAAGAATTCCAGCGCTCGCTCGAATACGCGAGCCGTTCTCTTTTTGTTCTTTTGCGTCCAAAATAGCGAACTGACGTGAATTAATTGTATTTAAGATTAGATCTCAGTATGCAAATATATGCAAGGCCTAATTATTACTACTACACTACTGTTACTACTATTACTACTATTGCATAGACCATAAGCCTCGTCATCGTCTATTTGAGAAACGAACGAAAGGAAAAAAAAAAACTAAAATATACAAATATACATGTATATGTGTGTATGTATGTGCACGTATGCGCACGTATATACAAAATAATCGTACACATATATGTACACGCGACACACACACACACACACACACACACACACACACACACACACACACACACACACACACACACAGTGTTCTATTTTAATGAAAATAGAGTTGTATATCCCAAAGAACACTTGATATCAAAGTGTTTTCCGAAATGCGACTATCGAAAAATATCTCGGAATAAATGTTATTATGGCTAAAAAATTTTTTTTTCAAAGTCAACTTTTCTTTTAATGGATTTATAACCTTTTTTTTTATGTAAATTGATTCCACTCGTTATATTCTATGTATAAAAGTATGTACGTATTTTACGTACATGTACGTAATTATTCTATTTGTCAGCATAAAATATAAAATATGTCGTAAAATACTTAATTTTTAATTAACTCAATGTTTTTACATACAGAACGACGAAAAGTCAATAAATGCGTAAAAACGTTAATTTTAAACATGCACTATATATGTGTGCAAACATTAGTAGCGTCTATATTTCTTTCTTATAATTCTGCATATAAAGATATTAAAATCGAAAGATCGAAAAATGGATAGTTATATGGTGGCAAAAAATAACTTATGTTTTGTATTGTAAATATAAGATATAAATGAAATATTTCGGGATGCATTCATTGTTCGATTATTGTTTTTTAATAATTTTATATTTTGCAGGATAATGAATAAAATCTCTCTCGATTTTTGAAAAAGGAACATGTAAAATTTTTAAATATTAAAATTGCTTTGAAATGGTTAAAACAACATTTCATCACGGTAATATTACCACCATGTATTCATCTTGGATTGAATTTAAATCTGAAACATTTTTCGATAGCCCAAAAACGTTTTGAGATATTCAATTGTATTAATCGAAATGAAACACCGTGTAAATACATATGTATATGCGCGCGTACTCATGCACGCACGCACGCACGCACATACGCACGCATGCACGCACTCACTCACTCACTCACTCACTCACTCACTCACTCACTCACTCACTCACTCACTCACTCACTCACTCACTCACTCACTCGCTCGCTCGCTCGCTCGCTCGCTCACTCACTCACTCACTCACTCACTCACTCACTCACACACACACACACACACACACACACACACACACACACATATGTAAATATATATATATACGTATATATATATTTACATATAAATGGATCATTCCTCGATGCTGTATATCAAAGTATTATGATATGATGTAACTATTCGTCTGAACTCCTCGTATAAAAGTCCTAAGCGTCGTTGTGTATTATATCTATTACGCGCGCACAACACACTCGTTCTAGCGTTAAGAGTAAATCTCACGAAACTTGCACGCGAGTGTATTTCCACACATGTACAAAGGCACACCGGTCATGCGTTTACCGTTATGTATGGCAAAATTGCACGCTCTCGTGGATGCCTTCTTGAAGAAAGCCTCATTTGATGTTGAACTTGAAAGTTTTAACACTTGTTGGTGATTAGCTGATAAATGGGGATTAGAGGGAAAAATGCGTCTTTCCTGAGCGGCATCGCGCGCGGTTCTTTGCGACATCGTAATGATGATATGTGGAAAGCGTCACATTTTCTTTACATGATATAACTCTCCTGTACGTGTACTATCTTAAGTACATGACGACCGGAAGGGTTGTGTTCCAATGAACGAATGAGCGAATATAAACGAGTGAATGAATGAACTCTTTCGTTTCGAGAGAGAAAGAAAAATGAGACTTCGATAAATTTAACCATAGTGCATAAAATCGAATCATGTAAATGCAATCATGAGAAAAAAATACAGATTTATCGAAACGAGCGAAATTACAGGCCTACCTGTACACACACAACACACGCGCGCGCGCACACACGCACACACACACACAGCACACACACACACACACACAGCGAGAGAGAGAGAGAGAGAGAGAGAGAGAGAGAGAGAGAGAGAGAGAGAGAGAGAGAGAGGAGAGAGAGAGAGAGGAGAGAGAGAGAGAGAGAGAGAGAGAGAGAGAGAGAGAGAGAGAGAGAGAGAGAGAGAGAGAGAGAGAGAGAGAGAGAGAGAGAGAGAGAGAGAGAGAGAGAGAGAGAGAGAGAGGATATCTATGTGCGCGTGTATGTACATATAAACTATATATATTTTTATGAACGTGATGAGGTAACAACACATAGCTTGTAATATCGATTCTAACGACCGACAGTTTACCTTGCCTCTCGCGTGCGATTAAAACGATTAAGAACGGCTTTAAACACTTAGATAAGTTTTTTCCTTGCCTTTCTATCTCGCCGTTGTTTTTCTCTCATGCCTTCCTTCTTATTTCGTCTCCCTCCCTGTTCCTCGCGTTTTTTTCACTTATTTTGAATTTAAGGCGGAAACACGATCATTGAAAACACAAAAATTATGACTATTTTTTCTTTTTTTTCAGGCCTCGCGGCAATCACACACTCCACAGAGTCGTGTCATTAAAATGATTTTATTTCATTATACATGTACGAAATGTACGTTCATTACCCCGACTTAAGTGTACTTTTAATCAATTGATCTTGTGTTATTATAAAATATTTTCCTCTCATGAAAGTATAATAATTTGTATGTAATCTTATTTTATACCTACACACCTGTGTGATGTATTTCCAATAAGTATTAAAATAGACATATGAAAAACTTTAGCTCTTAACTGTTAATGACGGAAATATCCGCAAAAAGAAAAGTATATGCCATCGTGACTTTCTATCACCTTTAATGTCATTCTCTGATTTCGTGTCCGTAATTTCGTAATTTTATTATTTTCCTCCCCGTGGATATTTCCGTCATTGATAGCTAAGGGGTTAAAAGGAACTTAATGGAAACAATGTAACGGGACATGAAGCAAAAAAAAGTGAGATTGATATACTTGAACTTACCTTATAGAAGACATCCGGGACGTATTGTTTATCGGTCGACTCAATTACGTAGCCTAACTCCGGTGCGTCTTTCGTAGGAACCAAACAGCCATCTCGTACCAATGCCATACACTGATTAGATACTTGATAACCTTCCATATGAACTTGATTCTTATCATCACCTGTAATGGCAGAGGAGAAACTTATTTTATATGACTATAACTCATTGGAAACATGAATGTCCGTTAGATCCATTTCAAAAATTTTCATCTGTCCTATGTATGCACTCACATTAATGTAGAAAAAAGAGAAACGACGAACACACCTTTGAATGACGAATTAATCTAATATTTTCAAAGAGTGTTTCCAACAATGTGTACAAAATGAAGTAAGATTTAACTCACCCGTAACGCAAACGGTTACAAATTTCGAACCGAAATAACCATTAGGCGAGAAACGGCAGGGATTTGGGTATTGGTTTTGGAAGTATCCAGCCATAATGCACTCTTGAGCAGATAGAAAGTGACTCTCTATATTACGAACGTGTTTGACCTGCTCGAATAAAACTTATGGTGGTTAATCCGCTATGCGTGATCCATTATACAAATAAAAAAAAAAAGAAACTAGTATAAAATTACCGTTCCTTTCTTGACATCGTCGGCTATGAGGTCAGTAAAAATCCATCCAACTCGCCATAGATTAAGCATGCGGCCTAACTCTTCGACCAAAGCTTCTCTCTCATCCGGTAGAAGTCTTATCGTGTCCTTTGTACTTTCCTAATGTATCAACGCATCGGTCAATAGAGTTCAATATTAACAAACCGCGGAAATTTATGAGATTTCACAACAACTTTTTTTCTTCTACATAGTTAACATTGTGATGCGTAAAGATAATTCAATCGTCTTGCCGATGTCACACACACACACACACACACACACACACACACACACACACACACACACACACGCGCGCGCGCGCGCGCGCGCGCCCACACACACACATATATACATACATACACGCGCGCGCAATCGTGAAATCTTACAAATTTCCGCAATAAATTTAACGAAAAATGAACGTTCATAGATCTTTTGGGGATTAACGCGATGTTACATACCTGCGGTGGCTCGTATATAGCCGCAATGACAGCTCGAACTCCCAGCGGGACATCTGAATGTACTTCGTATCTACCGTACAGATAACCGATACGTTGGAGGCCCGTGCCGCGCCAGTAATTGAGAAAACGCTCCACTAAACTAGCGTTCTCGAACATGACATTATCCACGTGGCGATAAGTCTGGCGATTGAGCGTAATCGAGGGTGGTTGGCACTTGCTGCAAATACCTCGTGGCCACGGCGGATGGTCTTTGCAGCCAGTCTTTACACGGCAGCTTATATCATCTAATTGTATAAATTTGCCCCTGGCAACAAATATATTGATATACAGTTGAGTGTTTTTCGTCATGTCTCAATATAATTTAATATGATAAATCAAATATAATTATATGATAGATATATGATTTTAACGTAAAAGTTTACCGAAAATCAATATTAACACATTGCCAGCTAATATTGCGCTACGCAGAATGTCATGTACAGTTGGCAAAATTTCGTTAATATCGAAAGGTATTATTTTGCTTGCAAAAGTATTAATAAAACATATAATATGATACATAAAAATTTAACAACATATTTCGAACGCATAATTTTACCCGATCAGTTCAACATTAATCTGCAGAAAGTATATTTTTACGTTATTGATTGTCAACATGTGTTAACATGTCCTATTTTGAACTTACTATGGGCATTTCTTCTTGACAAGAGGATGCACAAAGATTTCTTGGATAAAAGTTTTAGATTTTAGATATAGTTCTTCCTAATTCTTCATCGCGCAACTCCCGATTGATGATGTTAGAAGAAAATACACGCTAAAAATTCTTGTAAAATATGTTGAAATAAAAATATATATCCATAAAATGATATTCAATTGATTGAGCAGATCTGTACAATAATTCCACCTTCCTTTTAATAATACCCTTTCTCTTTGTCCTAATAATTAATAAAATGATATAACAAGCAACCCTTCTTCAACCTATCTCCTCTTATGATTCTATCACATTAATTTCAGTTATTTATTAATTATTAGAGCAAAAGGAAAATATTTGCACTATTTTATAAATCTGCTCAATCACAATTGCATCATTTTGTATCTAATATATCTATTTATTTCAACGTTACAAGAATTTTTTGGGATCTTTCTTGCTTCGGCTATTATAGTTCAAGATGACCACATGAACGAGGAAACAAAAACCTCAATGAGGGCATCATATAATATATGCGTTTGGTTTTATGATTTTTTTCACGCTCGGTTCTATTTATATATGCGTAAAATTATAATAAACATTTTCTGGTACGAAATAGAACGTACCTATCAACTCCGGCAGTGAGCTTCCTGAGATATGAGTGAAAGGACAGATGCTTGATATTCTGTTCTTTTAAGTAAATTTCGTCGAAAGGTTCCAAAGGTGAACAATGTACGCAGCATCCTCTTGCTCCGTGTCGACAACTGTAAAACAGCGAATTTCTCTTTGTTTTACCTTGATACTATTTATAAATCTTTTGGCAATACTTACAGCTTCTCATCACGTTTACGTTGGATTTTACCATCAAGCTTCCACAATTGTTCGTCGACATCGTTCTCAACTATATTTGGCAGAGATCGTGAGAGGCCGGATGTACGATTTGTACTTCCTGTGGTATCCATTGGTCCTGGTTCTGTATTATTTTAAATATATAAAATAGCTTATAATATCAAATCTAATCTTTTGAATATTAAGAAGATTGCACACATATAATTATCACTTTGTGATAATTTTATCATATTATCTTTAATCGTAGCAATATCTTTGTTACTTTCGCTTATAATATGAAAGTCATTTGTGAATAACGTCTTATCTTAATATTTTTGGTTATCTCATGCAATACTCTTAATTATCTAATTATATAAATAATTAATACCTATGGAAATAACAGAAGCACTGCTGGTTGATGGAGTACTCCATAACTGCGTACCATTAACTGGCACAAGATAAAGCATATCTCCATGACAAAGACCAATCCCTGATACTGTTTTACTTTTAGTAGATATAAGTGGATCCTTATGATTTCGTTGCTTACACAGATTAAATCCAAAACTACTCAAATTGAAAGCTTCATATACCTAGATTAAAAATAAACAGGATGAATTTTGTTCTATTCATAAAGACTGTCATAAAAGAAATTGAAATATACTTTTTCATAAAGACGGGTAAGTGTATCAGAAGCTTGCACTTCTATACGTTTTGTTCCCTCTGATGACTGCACACGCAGAGTCTGTAAATAGATAAACACAAAATGACCTAACAAATACATATTTATTTAACAGAAACGATTATCCAAACATTAGTAACAAGATAAAGTCGTTTGTTACAAAACATATAATATATTGTAAGTATATGCTATATTTATTTTATTCACTTACACATAAAATATACTCAAAAACATGAAAATAGTTCAATAATTTTCATACAAAAAGATTTTTACACTAAATACAATGCCAATAATAATCCCAGACATTTAATTAAATATATCAGTATTAATGGGTGACTTTTGATTAAATGGAATGAGTTTTGATTTCTCAAAATTTCTGTAACAGTTACATAATTAATTATGCATCCAAGGAAGTGTCAAGTCACGAAAGTAGAATGCTACAAAAAAGCGCGTATTCTGACGTCAGTTCGTACGCTGCCGCTCATAGTTATCGAAAATACAGATAATAGACGCGTAAGGGGAGACGCATAGAGAGCAGATAACATTACGCGGAGATCCGAACATTAGTCCCCGTTTGCGGTTCTCGGTGGGTCTGGGAATTTTTTCAGTACACGTTAGAATATAACGCGCGTAACCGCGATCCGCTCGCGCAGTATATATACATCGCGATGAAAAGCCGCGATCGAGCGTTCATGATTCAACCCGTCCATCGTCCGCTGTGCCATTGTATGTTCACTTACAAATTGCCTGGGTTTTGACATTTTGCCGGTGTCGTTGGAGCATCAGCTGTTCAGCCCGCTGTATACATATACTGTGTAAGCACGCCGTCGCCAAAGTCCCTAGTCGCGCGTAATGCTCCGAAGGTGCGAGCGAAAAAACTGTCGAGTCAACGTCTCCCTGGTGGCAGGGTTGCCCTAACCTCTTCGACACCCCCGCGAAGCGATCCCCGCGAGTGATGCGCGATCACCGGCGTGAAGGGGCTGCCGACCCGAGTATCGATATTATCACGCAGTTCCTGCCGACGACAGCCGCACGCACTAATAATCCAACTCTAGTCCAGCACTGTTGCCTGACGATCGCGTGCGTCTTCTCACCGTGCCTCACGAGTGAGCAAGCAAGAAAGAAAGTTAGGGTCCCCGTCAGCTGAGCGAAGTGAGAATCAGCCGAGTAGCGGTACAACGTTCTCGCGCACGAATCCTCACTGACTAGGCAGCTATCCCTGCCACTGTAGAGTGTAGCCGGTTGCAACGAGTGAGCAAGCGGCAGGTCCCCGATCCAGTTGAATCGCGAACTGCTGTGCGCGTCCCCGTGAAGGGATTTGTCGACGTGAATACTGGTGAGTTTGCTTAATGCGCGCGTCGTTCTTCCGCGCGAATATTCTTCGCAACTCCGCTCGTCTCTTCCACTGCGGCCTTCTCTTCGTTCGTCGTTGTTGCGAATACGGTCTATCGAATTTCGCGATCGCGCGCACGCAACGATGACGGTGACGATAATGAGGATGGAAAAAAAGAAAAGAAAAAGAAAAAACAAAAGACGACTCACGTTGCTACGTTATACAAGCCCTTTCCCCATACAACGAGCGTACACACCCCACGCACTATGCAACCTGCCTTACAGCACCGTAAAGCCGGACGCTGACCTTTGGAGAGCGCTATTCTGCACTTTTTTGAAAACACGCTGTCGATACGCCGCGCAACGTCACGCTCAAGAATCGGTTGTGCGCGTCGCGTAGCGTAACGTAACGTAATGTAGCGTAGCATCATGCGTTGCAGCGCTCTGGAAGCGACATTCGGCGTCCTCTCGCGTACACTTCTGAAGTCCAACGAGAATTTTGTTCGTACCCCTGAAGCCCAGTGCTATCACGTCGAGTGCTTCGTATTTTATTTAGATACTCGAAGGTCGATCGTGAATACTTTTCATTAATATAAAAATAATGACAAATGAAAACTTCAAAATGTTTTTAAATGAAAATTTCCGATCTCTTGCTGCAATGATCTTGATTGATGATGTTAGAATCGAGAAAATACTTGCTCAAGATTCCTCTAAAATATATTGAGGTAAAAAGATATATATCTATAAAGTGTCTTATACAACACATGGGTCTGAAGAATTATTTAAATTGCAAATCAAAAGCCACGTATAGCAATCTCTCTTTTGTAAGATAAAAAAAATTAAATTATATATTTCTTCTAAATATTGATAAATTTATTATAAACAAATATATATTACAATAAGGTAATATATATATTATGATAAAATATAATGTTTTAATATTTTAATAGATTTTATTAAAATAATAGAATAGTTTTTTTAATAAAATAAATAAAATATGTTTTAACATTTATTAAAACTCAATATAACTTTTATTAAAATATTAAAATATTTTATTATATGTGATATCAGTAATATACATAATGAACAATATATAACAATAATATTAACAACTTTCATTTTATTCTAAAATAATATAATTAAGTTAAGTTGTAATTATATAAAAAAAATTATAGCTCTAACTTCGTTAACGAGTAACGAGTTCCCGCTGAGAAATGACTCGTCGATCGACGTCGAAGCGATGTCGGCTCGAACTTTTCGACATCGATTCGATTTCGATATCGATCAACGAGTCGCTTCTCGCCGGGTTACTTTCAACCCTATCAAGAATTGATTGATTCATGGTTTAGAGGATGTGTGGCCATTTTATAAGTTTAAACGGTTAACTTAACTGAAGTAGCAACGAATAAGAAAAGAGGTGAGCGCCATTTGCAATTGTTCACCGTCATGGAACAATTTCGTATCATCTCGGAGCGGCGGATAGCTATTGATGTGGATAAGCGACATCGCCGTATCGGCTGTATCTCGTGAGTCGTTACACGAGTAGGCATAGCCGGACGCTGCTGCCTCCGCTATGACCCTCTTACCTCTTTACCATTTCTTCCTGCCAAGAACGACTACCGCGCCGTGCGTGAGGGACTTCACGCTGAGAGCGAGCGAGTGCGTATTCCGATGAGGATTTCGAAGCGATCAGTTGCATTTGTTGGCCGGTAGTCATCTAGCGCGAGAGAGCGTCTTCCGAGAAAGTTTATCCGAGCACGCGTCAAGTTTCTCTTGATATCACGCTTCGTTGCATCGGTCATCGTTAATTCTTCGCCGTCGCCGTCGTTATCGTCCTCGTCGTCGTCGTCGTCGTCGTCGTCGTCGTCGGTTTTGTGATCGATTTATCCTATCATTTGCCAAAGGCCCGCCTCCCGCGCGTCTGTTCTGCCCCCTTCCCGCGAAAATCGTAACCGATCCACCTGTTAGCCGTCAATGAGAGCAGAAAGGTAAGCTGTTGTCACTGCACGTTGTCTCTTTCTCTCTCTTTCTTGTTCCTTTTCTTTTTCGTCGGCTTTTTACTTTTATCTTCTTTACTTTAAATGATTTAGCTCATGTTCTTTTTGAAGTTTTCTGAAGTTTTCGAACTAGCTATATCATTATAACGAGTATTTAACTAGTATTTGTATTTAATAAAAAACTCACGTCACAATTAGTTGTTTAATTTATTTCAAATAGATCATAAGCAGCTTCATAAACGTACTGACACAGTACGAAGATCGTTCAATGATCGTTTAATGACGTCTTGTATATAGATAAATGCGTCTAAACTGCTGATTCACCTCAGCCTCTTATCATGTGCGGAACTTATAAATTCCGATTAAATTGTATTACTAATAAAAATTAGTTTTCATAAATTAATGTTCTTATTTTGTTTATCGAATATTATTTTTCAAGTTTCTATGGCATACAGTGTTTTTAGATATACGATTTTTTTTAAACACTTTCGACAGTTTAAAAAGAAAAGGTTGTAAAGTGAATATTCATCTGCTTTACACAGGCTGTATCTTGCAATAAAAGAATTTGAAAAAAACATTTTCTAAAAATTTTCTAAAAAACATTTTATAAAAAATCAAGATTATCTAGAATTTTTCAAGTGGCACCATGCAATCATTTTTACATAACATTATAGATGACATTGAGACGAATTCAACGCACTATTAAAAAATATTACTTTTTATTAATAACAATATAATAACAATAGAATATAAAAACAATAGAAGAATTATAACTTTTCTTTGTGCATTTGAAATAGACGAAAATTACCTTGTAAAAGAATTTGACCTGAGATTTTTATTTTTGGTATTTAGGGCCTTCTTAACTGTCGTTGATTAAGAACGCGGGGGATATTTTAAAAGCTGCTTCGGGACGACTTCGTGGCCGACGCACTGTCTCATCGCTTTCCCGTCGAAACTGTGACGTGTTTTTGAGAGACACTTCGGGTCACCTACAGGGTGGTGTGGAAGCACGTCTCGGCACACTTCGGGACGAGTGATATATTTGCATCTTTCAAGTCGTTAAGTCCGACAGGACAACAAAGTCATAAAGGTACGTCGACATGCTGTATATATATTGGGAGTAGTCCATTTATTTGAAAAAAAGGGAAGGGCTAAATCCGTTGATCAAAAATAATACAGTGAATCATTTTACGTAGATATATTAGTATCTTGTATATGAAAAAACGAATAATTTAAAAGTTGATAATTTGGCGACAAAAACTTCAATCAAACTTTGATTAGAAAGAATTTCTTCTTTCGCAGGTAGAAAGAGAGAGAAAGAGTTAAAATGGAAGACACGGAGGATATGAAGACAACAGTGGAGTTATACATTTATGATCTTACGAAGGGTATGGCAGCAATGATGTCGCGACTACTTATAGGTGAGCGAAAAAATATCATCAGCATTCATATAAAACGTAAACTATGAATTTGTATCTTTGAATTTAAAAAATGTAGATGATTTCTTAGAAATATTTTACGAAATATTTTTTGAAAAATATTACTAAAGGAGTAAATTATTTTTTTATATTCATAGATAATAAAGGAACGAACGAATATTTAAAATAGGAATTAAATTTTAAATAGGGGTTACTAATTTTTCTGTCAAACGTACTAAAGCTTAGTTAAACTGAACTCAAGAGGATTGAAAGATAAAAGATGCTTCAAGAAAAGTCATTAGCATTGAGCTTAATAATCGAGAAAATAGCCCAATGATATTTATCGAGGAGAAATGTTGCGTATCGCCGTGTGTGTTTCCACTTGGTATAATTTTAAACTCTTTTACCTTGAATTGGCAGAATGTTATTTAAAGAAAGGAAAATGTAGCATACAACACCTCTTTCTTTGTTATTGCCGCCTAAAGCAACGACCGCGACCTCTAGAATGAAAGGCAATCGAGAATAGCACGCTATAATAATAATAAAAAAGAAAGTGATCTTGAAATTTTTTAGAGTGAGACCTTACACGAAACGTGTGAAAATTCATTTAAAACGATAGTGAAGATACAGTTACTCTGCTACCATAAAAAAGAATATCTTACCGAAGTTTAAAGTGGATTCTCTGGCTAAGTACAAGTGAACGTTTCAATCGATCAGAGTAAACGTCTCCTTGTGACAATAGAATATCGAGTATATATCCGATTCACTCTTTAATTTCGAGCAAAAATATCTGTTCCACAATTCAAAGTGAAGAACTCATTTGTTTTTCACTCAATATGAGCGAGAGGTTACTTGAAACTCGAACGGCTCGGCTTTCACTTTACCCCTGGAGAAAAATTTTACTCCAAAAAAAATGTAGAGAATATATAACTCATCTTACTTCGTGTATGAGTTTCCAATATAAAGTTAGAGAACTTCGTGGTGATTATGAAAATTCCTCTCGCCAAAGAGACGATCGAGTCTCGGCTTTACCTGTTCAATTTCGCTAGTCATGGTTATTACTCCATTATGACTTATTACTGCGCACTATGCGCGTGTGCGCGTGACGGTCGTCATTGCTCTTCTCGGCGGGAGAGATCGAACATCGCTAACGCTGCGCGAATCTTGCCAAATTGTACGATGATTTTGGATCAAAGGCGATTTATATTTAAACAACCGCCGCGAGCGATGGCATTTTGGGCTGAATATGATGATTCAGAAGTGCGTCGTCGTCGTATTGTTATCGTATCCGGCCGTCTTTTGTGATAGGTTCAGTCAATGTACTTAAATTGCAAATTGTATGAGGCGATATAAAAATAGTATCGAGAAAGAGGATGTTGTACGAAATATGAAAAATATGTAACACGAAATAAGAATAGGAAACCAATCCAAAATAGTACTACATTAGTGTACAAATAGAATGGTTAATTATGACGTAAGTGCTGCAATTAGCAAAATTAGGAGTTATTCATAGTAATAATCATCCTATCGTTGAATTGGTTCGTGGTAGGAAAATTGCGTGATATGTGTCGCTGGCAACATTTTCAAGATTACAGGAAAAAATTGTCGGTCCGATCGAAAGATCGAAATAGCGAAAGGTGTTGTAGAAAGCGTATAAATGTACACGGTGTATGGTGGCAATAATTTGAGGAATCATGTGTATAACGTGACGCGGAAGTGCGTGAAGATGTGGAACGAAGCGCGTTCTGTATTCTGAACGAAATTCCATGCGAACGGCGTAAAGCACGACATACACGCGTTGTCGACAACTCACCGTCGGCCGTTTACGTCACATGTCCAAGGTTCGTTCGCTCGTTCGCGAAAAGATCGTCTATTTTCGAGTGTAGCGAATGCAGCGTGTGCACGCACAATCGGCATTCCGTTATTTGTTCCGACATCGAGGAAAAAATCCGTTTGATTTGAGCAAATTGTGGCGGTTACGTTAAGTTGCAATGGAACAAATATCGAGTAAAATTTTAAACAGTTTATTATACATGCAACTTATTTCTTTGAGGATAATAAGAAATCATAAAGCGATAAAATATTTTATTGTTATCACCTACACATACCGATATTGAACACACCAATAAGTTACTTTTTAGTATAGAGTGTTCCAAAAATCACTGCATATTTCTATGGAATTGTGCGAATTAAAAAAAAGAATAATTTAATATCAAGATTACTATATAATTTATTTTTATAAAAAGATATTATTATATATTATCAATTTATTTATACTTCGGCATACAGCCAAGAAGTAGATTTACAATTCCTTAACTTATACTCATACCTTTTATTCATTCTTATTTAGCATACTCCTTTCTTTCAATTTAGTAATTTTTTGAATATTCTGTACAAATAATTTGTATATTTTTTCATATTCATATGATTTATTTATGAATAGTTTTGTCGGCGGAATATATGTCTGATTCTTACTCGATATCATTAACGTAAGTTTGCATTTTCGAATTCGTCCTGAAGTGAGTAAACGTCCAGGCAACGTTGCGTCTCGCATCGCTCTGAAAGTAATTATAACGGTCAGGTTATTTCTTGCGGGGTCGATGCGACTTCTCTCACTCTCAGCGCGCAATGAGAAAGCCACGAAGCGACGTGTACGCGGATGTACTTAGCTATTTCCGCGGTACAGAATTGGGTCGAAAGGAGGTACGAAAGGAGGTACTGCAAGCTCTAGTCTCATCTGGGCGCGCGAGTTTTCGCGTTTTACGCACCGTTCCAACGAGCGAATTTATACGAGGACAAATCGTGGCAAATATTGTTGTCTCTGTTGAGTCGGTCCTTGAACAAGAGTATCGCGTATATGAGCTTAAGCTTGTCTCGAGGTTATTTCGTTGGATCACGCCAATGGAGACGCAAATAGAATAAATTTTCATAGTTTCAAATTCCTTTGAGATCCGTACCAGTTAGTTTTTCACTATGATCTTCGAAGGAATTTTGTACGGAAACTTTTATCGCTGGACGATCTCAGTAAAAAACAATCCTTCGTGAGGAAAGCCACCAAAAAAATCTTCTATATCTATATTTGATTTGCATTTATTCAGACTTACACTAGTTTATCCATATATGGTAGCCATTTTGATTTTTTGAAATCTGACTTCAAATTTATATAATCAGCGATCTAAAAAACATAAAAATGTAAAATTTCACAGAAATGCGTCAGGTAAAAAAAAGTGCTACGCAAAAGGTTAAATTGAGCTAATTATATGGTTAGTCAATTATATCTCAAAAATAAGCAAAATCGTCTTAAGACATTAATCTTTAATTTTTGTTCACAGGTCGCCAATTGGACGGAATATGGCACACGGCAATAGTCGCATATGGAAGGGAATATTTCTTCGGTCCAGCTGGCATACAGAGCATCCGACCTGTAAGTAACTCGTTGTATCAACGACTATGCCGTTCGCTGATCTCTCGAGCGCATATCGACCGATTAGTTTAGCACTACTTACGTTACTTTTATACGAAACGCTAAACAAACGCAAGGCTTTGTCAGTCATGCAGGTGGTCCACATGGCGTACTCGCTACTTTTCTCGGGCGCTTTCTTTCTTCCTCGTGAGTATATTTTCAAACGATAGAACACGTCGAATAGGAACGTCAGATGCCTAAGTGTAATATCCTGCCAGTATCAACAATGCATTAATCTTGATACTACGTTCTTGGCGCCCTTGAAAAGCCGCACGAAACGATTTCTATCTACTGAATTAATACCAGCTTCACCTTAGATAATATACGAAAAAATATCGCACACTCTGATGTGATACTACATTTTTCCACTGTTTTTACTGATAATAACTTAAAATCTAAAGCTAATTTTGTAACATCTGCTTGTAAAGGTACTGCGAAACTATAGTTTACATTGATATGAATAGCATAAAAAAGATGCAATAATCCACAATGTTTGCTTGTGATTAAAGAACCAAGAAATAAGTAAAAGAAGTCTCGGAACAAATATTACAAAGTGAGAACTGCAATTCTAAGAATTAAATTATATATGTTTATAGTGTTATAAATATTATATATAATCGACATAAAACTGATTTCATAATTCTCAATATTATAATTACTATATAATGTTATATATAACACGCATGCACACAGAGTATAATTATAATGTAATATAACCGTTTGTATACAATATGTAACATTAACATTCACAATAGCAGAGATCATTAAATTCATTGAAAATAAATTAAGATTAAGAATAAATTAATATAAAGATTCATTGAAAATAAATAAATGGACTAACAAGAGTCGAATTGTTAGTCGCGCACAAAAATCGTTTTCTTGTTAAATTATGAACATTATGCATAATTTAATGCGTAAAGCTTTTCGGTCCTCACTTTGAAATTTTTGCTTTAGGTCTTATCTTTTATTTATTACTTAGTCTCTTAATCAGAATCAAATACATATTACTGATTGTTACTGTTAAAACGCCGTTGGTGTAAACATAGATTACATGTGCCACTATATTGATTTTAGGCTACCGTATAAACTTAGTCCATCTTGATCATCATCATAAAGAATAACGCATTATCTCACGATACAAAAGTTCGTATCGTTTTTCTTCAGCGGAACAATGCATCGAGTCCGGCGAAAGGATTCGCGCGTAGCGACGTCGCGCAACGGTATCGCGCGGGCAAGTGCAATATAAATAACCGGGCGCTATCAACAAGTGAGAATTAATGGCCTCGCTGCTTCCCGTCGCGATGCGAGACCTATCGGGATGCATTGCCGGTGGTAGCTGAAGTCGTGACCGATTGGAAGGTCTAGTAGTCGTAGAGAGTTGAGTCTGTTCGGCTAGCCATACGATACGCTAGACACGAGCGGGAACTAAATTTGGTGCGGTTCAATCTAAAAATAATCCTGCTGCGTACACACACGCACACACACACACATGCTCACTTTCTCTCTCTCTCTCTCTCTCTCTCTCTCTCTCTCTCTCTCTCTATCTTTTTCTCTTTTTCCTGCGACTCGTTCCCGTACCGAACCCGATGCGTCCAGACTCGACGTAAGACGGAAAGGCTGTCGGTAAGTCCATGTGCATCCATTACGCACTACCCACTTACCCCCTGCCCCCCCCCTCATACATATATACATATATCCTGCATGCATTACAAAATGTTTCCCTGATTGATTGCTTTATGATTGTCCTGAGCAGCAGCATTAACTGAATTCTTATCGTTCACCGAACAGATAGAGGTGACGCCTTGGAATAGTCTCTCCCTATATTGTTTTACACTCAGAAAATATTTTCCATATTTTCAAGATCCGTTCGTGTACTGTGTTGAGAGGTATACGCGAGAGTGATTTGCGAGGAAGCACTGAGGATTTTGTATTACCTGTCTGAGATTAAGATAGAAGTGGAAAGACTGTCCTCTCGTGGCAGCTCAATTATTTTCTTGGCATTTGGAAAGCTCGACTATGGGGACATATCAGGCTCAGGAATTTTTAAACGCAGAAGCTTACATCTTGTCGTAAACATAGTCTCTGTACCAATTAACATCGTCGCGAAAGCTTCGTGTCGCTATAACAGTGACATTTTATGTGTCTGTGACGATTGTGACTGGTAAAAGAATGAATCGCCAAGTTTCTCGAAGTAGAACCATCCGTTATGAATATCCGTTGAATAGCGTATGATATTTGCGGAAATTTAATATACGTCTCATGAAATTTCCTAGAGTTATAAAAATATTCCGAGTCTGTCTTGCCAGCCAACGCGACTCTTCCGTTGCGAACTCGGGTTGCTATCTTCTGGCGTGCGAAATCTCCGTGGGACTAATAATCGCAACACCAACGACGCAGCGCGTCTAAAAGCAACACGATGAAATCATTACGATTGCATTACTTTATCCGTACCGACTGATGCGCTTTAAATACGCGGATAAGAATATGACTAACGTGCATATAATTGTACGCATCGCTTTACGCACGGTGTAACCAATACGTTCATTTCCTCCCACCGGCACCTTCGGCTACGAGACTTGGCGAATAGTTACGCGTTACAAACGTCCGCGAATTTATATTCGTTTTATGTAAACTGTTTTTATCAGCAGCGAGAAGTGCTCTTCTAAAAAACAAATGCTCCGTATAATACAACATTGATTTTTCCTCGATTTGGTAATCATCGAGATAGAAGAAAAGCTCATTTGCTTTCCCTCTCCCTCTCTCGGAGCATCATGTTCTCTTTCAAATTCTGTGAATTTGCTATCATGGTCAATAAGTCTTTTAATCATATTTAATTGATAAAGTACGCTCTATTATGATGTACATTAATTTGATACTATGACTTTGGTATCTATCGTTTTGTATTAAGTAGAATATTATGTTTGTATCGAGTATAATATTTTGTTGTATTCCGAATACTGCATTCGCCATGTTTGTTCATCAACATCAACACGACCGATATTATGTGTCATCATCTTTTTTCATCCTCCTTTCCGTTTCTCTTACAACTCTTTGTGATTCATTAGCAAGGTGCTATTTTGTTTGGAACACTTTGCTGTATTAACGAACGACGTTGCTTTCACGACGAAGCCTTCTCTCTAGACATTTTCATCGACAACTCACGCTGTTTGATAATTCCGTAATTGCGCGAACGCAAAGCCAATCGCGAAGTCACAAAAGAAGCGAGGTCGGAAGAGAACGCGCGCGCCGCCGTCGCCGGCGCTGTCGCTGCAAGCCGCGATCATCCTACATCGTCTTCAGCGTCTCGCGTTCGTAGGCTCCGTCGTGGCGTCTTCGAGTACCGCGGTGGTAGTTTGCGCGCGAGCCATTTACCGAGGGAGCGCACTTGAAAGAAGCGAAGAACAGAATAGCCGCGCTGCGACATCTCTTCTTTTTTCTTTCTCATTTCGACGCAGTTTTCCGCAAGCTTTTCCGATACGTAAGTACGCGCGTTTTCGGTATCCCGTAGACGAAAATGAATATCATAATACTGAGTGAGTGTGGTCGATCACGAGGAGAAAGATAAAGCGAGTGCGAAAACGTCGCGGCGAAAGGTAAATCGTCGAAGCGAACTCCATTGCTGTTTTTTTCTTCTTCTCACGAATCCAACTTCTGCAAAGATACAATTTAACAATTAAAATACCGCGGATCACCATGTCAGCTGGCGTGGCATTTTCATAACATTTAACCCTTTTTCATCCCTGAATATAAGTTTTATATTTTATATTCAGCTCCTTCTAGCTCAAAATTCATCTCTTCATTTTGCTTTATTTTCTTCATAGTGCTAAAATAAAAATGTGTTCATCAACAGAGTTATTGGTTGGTACATATGTGTACCGGTAAAAAATCCAGCTGGCACATGTATCTAGTGATTTAAAATATTTATAATAATAATAATAAAATATTATTTAAAATATGATACCTATATGTACCATTTAGAAAGAAAGTTAAACAATATACGTGGTACTGTTAATTTTTATTTGTTTTTTGAACTTTCACAGAAGAATCTCTCTCTCACTCTGTCACTTTCACATTGTCCTCTCCTTCCTTTCTCCCAATAGTATTCTCTAAATATTAATAACTTATAATATTAATATTATAATAATAATATTAATATTATAAGTTAATATTATAATAATAATATTAATATCCATATTGATAGAATTTCACATGGATTAACTGTTTCTTTTGTTTACTCATATTATTAGCAGAATTATAATCTCGCATTACTATTTTTTGTGTATCGCTATGTGTCTTGTAACATAAATATTTATCTATTATTCATATCTTTATAGGATGTACACAACACTTCACTTTTTTGTGGATTATTAAAAAAAGTCCTCATAATGATACATAATACACGCTTTCTTGCCATTTCTTATTACTCTTTAGCGTTACTCTTCATTTCCGGCACGTATCTTTCCTTTACGTTCTAGAAGAACTTGTGGTTCTAACGCGTGGCGCTATTTTCGGCAACTATTTTCGGCGGTTTCTCGTAGGGAAGAGCGGATTTGTCGTAGTTCTAAAATTACATAGCCACTAATGCCAGGAGAGGGAGGGTGCTCTCTTCCTTTTCTTCTTCTTCCTCTTCCTATTCTCTCTTTTCTCTTTCATTCTCTCGTCTCTCCGGTCTGCATCTATTTTTCTAGCAAACAAGTCTCTTTGGATCGACGTAATTCCCACGAAATTGACACTGGCGACGTGCTTTTCTTGGACATTGCAATTTTAACGCAACAGTGACTATCGATATTTCATGTGTTTCAGGGCGGCACGGAACTAAAAGAACCGCAAAAAATCGAGAAGCTTGGCGAAACTTACCTACCATATTCAGTCTTCCTGGAATATATAAACGGCCTGGGAACTTCTACATTCGCGTGAGTAATAATAATTAACATGTACAATGGAAGCTGCTTCGACTTGTTGCTGCTGGTTCATCGTTTTTATGTCGAAAGTGCTTGATTTTATTATTTTGTAATTATTTGGTTTTATGTTAATGTAGAAATTATTCTATTCTATTATCTGAGAGGAGAAATAGATTTTATTCAATGTTGAAAATAAAATAATCCTATATTTTCAGACCGGGCACGTATAATCTCTTTAAGCACAACTGTAATTACTTCACAGAGGAGCTCAGCAACTTTTTAGTAGGCAAGGGCATTCCCAAATATATTCTTGATTTACCAGAAGAGATATTACAAACGTAAGTCTTATTATCTAATTATTGAATTTATTATATTCGATAGAAGAAATTTATTCATCAATTAAATAATCGCCACTGTCAACATCTATAACTTTTCGATCTGGTGACATGCATATCTTTATCAGCAAATAAGCCAAAAATCAAGCCGAATATTTTGACTGACTTAATATATGAAAATTTTACGTGGACTTTATTTTTAGACCTGTTGGACAAGCTCTAGGTCCATTGATAGAAACATTAAGCAGTAGCGCAAGTGCTGGATTTACAGTCGGCCAGAGGTTCGTCGAAGCGAGGATCCAAAGAGAAGCCTCACCAGAGTATCAACTCCTGAACACAGCCATTGAAGAAGCAAGGTACCATATTGCGTATAAAGAGATCACTCCTGGATATCTTGATTTAAAACTTTAATTAACACAATTGGGATATATTTGCAGATTGAATTCGATTGCGTTAGAAGAACGTAGAAACGTCATTAACGAGAAGTTAGCAAAAAAAGACCGGAAGAAAAAAAAGAAGAAGAAGGAAAAGAAAGAAAAGGGCAGCAAAGAGACTACTAGTAGCGGTAGCAACAGCACCGAACCGAATAATTGCTGTTTAGATATGGCAGAAAACGAGAGTACGCATAATGTTTTCTCGATGGTCAAATAATACTTTATCATTGTCTCATAAAGTAATTTTATAATTCGTGTTATTTTATGAATATATCTTTTTAATTTCATGTCTTCTACAAAAACTTTTAGCACATATTTTTTCGTTTCTGATGTCACAATCTAAGACGAGTAACGAGAAAGGAACAGTCGAACAATTTTAGTCGTAAAATTATTTTATGGAATAGGATCTCAGATTTATGAACTGAAAAAAATTTTTATAACGAAAAATGTAATTGCTATCTTCGTATTGTCACTTATTAGGTTCTATTAGCGATGTGCAACAGCAACCTTCTAACGGAGAATCCGCGTCTGCAGAGATTTTGCCGTCCGAACGAGTAATGCAAATGGAAGAAGATGAGAGAAAGGAGCAAGAGGAGAGGAAACGTTGTAGAGATCCACCGATAGTCTTTAAGGATATGACAAACATACAAGCGCAGTATGAAGGTTTGGTAAATGCCCTTGAGGGAAAATTGAACGACGAAGAACGGACATGTTTGGATGAATTACGACTGTATGTCTTGGAAAATGAGGGCTCCTGGGCGTTGGGCGATAATTTCCTAAACTTTGTAGGTGAGTAATTAAAGTGATACATAAAAAGTTCTCGAGTTTATCTTCTCTATGAGACACGCCAGATGTATTAAATTTCAAGTTTGAAACTATTTAGAAATATCCAAGTTGGAGATTTTAATAGAAGTAGACAAAATGGATATTTCTCAAGGTTCTGGTTCTTGTTTCTTTAATTCTTTAATTCTTAGAAGCAATGTAAAAATGTACCTAATTGGATTAAATGATTCAGGTCGAATTCTTTATGATAAGTTATTGGACAACGACGCACGAGTAAAATTATTGAACGTACTGTCTGTTGCTGCATTGAAGGATGATGTGATTTTATTATTACATCAGGATAGACGAGAACATATCATTATGAATTATGCTTTTGATATCGACCGTCATTCACAAGAAGAGCAACTCTCACTCGCGCAATTCGTAAGAAAAAAATTTAGTTGTCTTAAATTTATTCTTAATGTCGAATCATAGTTTTCTAATTTTTCAAATGAATATGTTTAATTATAACTTCCTAAATTCTTCTAAAAGTCATGTATGCATTTTAATTTTTATTGTTTTCGGACAGTTGGCGAACATGTTCGAAAATCTTAGCAGTTCAGAATGGTTGCTTTATATATCGGAATGGCAACATCAAAATCAGAATATCAGTAATATAAGGGTGACGACCAAAGTTGCAGTGCATTCATTGCTCTCGAATTCAGAAGATCTGCAGATCCGCGGCGCTGCCATCATTCACAACCTTGCCTGCAAGGAGGTAAAAACTGTGGTCTGTATCCTTTCCCATCCGAATTAACCATTCTCACTCATCTTTTATCAACTTTCGCTTTCACTCTCATAACTCATTGCCATAATTATCTCGCTCATCAAAGGGATCTTCTTGTCATCTGGTGAGAGTTTTATTCGTTCCCAGTAAACAATCTATTAGCAGTGTGCCGACAGATTCGATTAGGATCTATCAATAGATCCATAGATATCTGTGTCTGCTCATAAACTGCTGACTGCATTCTGCTAGTAAACTTCTGACAAAGACCGCAGACACTGTGCAAGATTTGCTTTTGCAAGTTTTGCTATGTGGATGCATTCCTAGGTTCACTTTTTTTCAATAATAAATCTAAACTTTTATTTGCACCGCGCTCTTAACGCCAAGTGAATCACTGCGGCAAAAATATACACCGAAGTTATTTAATATTTAAATTGCTTTATTTTTCCTCTCTTCTTCGATATGACTTTATTTGTAATACCGCTTTCGGAATGTGTGCTTGCTGATGTCGTAGAAGAACACGATGTTGTAGAACAAACGATGCTCGCATTATGCCCTGAGATAGAAGTGCTGCCTTTATTAATTAATGAAAAAAAAGAAACAGCTGTAAGTATGTCAATGCTAAATGCGTGGATGTCTAATAATACGGTAACCTGATTCCACGAATGAGTAATGAAAAGTAAAAGATCGTCAGCGTAAAGAACGTCTCTTAGTTTATCACGGAACGGCTTAAGGGATACACGACTCGCATTTGATGCTCATTTGCATGCGCACACTGAAGCTCTCTAATTTGAGGCAGCAAAGCGCGTCGCACGTGTGTGACGGATATCTTTCCAGAAATCGGGTACTGTTTTTTCAGAAAATGAACAAAAGCAAAAATCTACGGCGACTTTTACCGAAAGGCAGCATTTCTAAGGTACCTATCCAAATCCATATAGAGTCGAACCGTGCGTTGTGGTAAGTCGTCAGATATTATCGGTGTTTTGCGTGCCGCACATGCAACATAATACTGCGAATGCGTCACTACGTGACGATCGTGATCACGGTAACAACTCAACTCGTAAATGTTCCGCGATATTTCATACACGTTAACATATATTGAAACTGAAAAAGCTTATGGTAGCGATGCTTCCATAGCTTCTTCAAAACCTAAATCCAATAAAATATTTCATTCATATCCGTAAAAGATTTGGAAGAAATACGATCATCTTAGGTTATTGAAGAAAATAAATAAATAAGTCAATTAAATTTATTTCGAAATAAATATAGAGTTTTAGAATTCCATATTTTCCAATTTGAATTACCCCACATAGCATCAAAATTACAATGATCACGATATGATCACACTGAAGTCATAATGGTGTGCAAACGTCCTCTTCACAAGTGTGTCTTTATCACAAGTGTGATATCATGATACTTATGATAAAGTAGCATTCAAATATCACCGTGACTTCGATATGATCTCATTGTGACCTCGATGCTACGTAATATATAGTATATATGTATATACGTAATATAGTTCATTGATTGCTGGACTCATGCTGACGTTACATCGTAATACTTTCTTTTGACATATATCTTCTGTTGATAGTCGATTGCATTTATACAAGTATCGTGATAATATTTTTTTCATAATTTTCATAAAGAATGTGAATCGCAGGTATTTGACGATGTTGCTGTGGAGTTAACGATGGCGTTGCTGCAATATTTCAACGGCAGTCCGGCGGAGGAGCAACTTTTCGCGTGCATGAAGTCGTTAGCGCGTTTCACGCAGATCAGCGGCCAAGAGGTGCCCCAGCTCATACAGATGATCGGACCCGAGCCGAATAAGTTCAGGGGAACTTCTCAGAGGATCGACGAGCAGATTGATCAAGTCAACAAGAAACTACGCTGAAAATTCACTAAAACATCGGAGGAGATGCCATATTCCAAACGCGAAACGAAATCACATGCGCTTCTACCACGCCCAAGATGGACGTTTAACTTAAAAATTCTATCAATCTCTTTCTTTGTCTCTATTGCACATGCTATGTATTATGATTATTACTAATTATTGTTGTCATTTTAATATTATTATTATTTTACTATTATTATTATTATTATATTATAATTATTGTTGTGATGTCATGCGAGGTACCGAATATTTTCAATCCTCTTTTCACTTTTGTATTATGATAGCATAATCTTTTCGTAGAGAATCGACGTTAGTGCGACGCCTCGCTGCCCTGATGAAAAACAGATGGAAACGAAAAATATGGCGTATGATATAATGACATGCCCGATACCTTCGCCGATACGCGCGACTGTATTTCCTAATATATCGTCGTACATATATGTAATTCGGCGAAATTCGGCGCAACAGAATCACCAGATCAGCTGTATCAAGTAAAACGGCGAGCCATAGGCGCCAGACACTCCACCGCTAATATCCACATTTGACGCGACAAAAAGCGCTGCGTGAGAACGCAATAAACGCTTAAAAAACTAGAACGAAGCTCTACGACACGGAACGTCTTTTCCCTCGATACCGTCAAGGGACATATGTGAGAAGTTTGAAGTGCGTCATTATTAATCCACTGCGTGTTTCAATTAAAACGGTGACGATTGTAAATAGCAGAGTCTGCTAAGGAAGCTGCTCATTAACACCTATCAATCTTGCGCCAAGGTTCTCCACACGTGAAGATCTTTATCAAATTGTCAACAGTGCACGCGCATAAGGAAAGCGTCATTAAGAGCACAGGTAGAATTAAGCGGCATTTCTTTTCGGCCTCCGTTTATACGAAGCTTTAGAAATATACGTGATAAGATCCACGATGACTTAATGAAAGCGCAGAGAACGTTACGCGACGTTCCGCTGCAGTTGTCGGACTCACACTTATCTCCCGTTAAATTTCGTTCAAGTTCAGTCGCACAAGTGTGGATAGTGGATTTGTTGATTCTTGTAATAATCACCGTTGTATAATCACTCGAATGATGTCCACAACTGCAAAAGTTTCTGGAGTTGACGCGGAGTGCTTGCAGTCGACGGAGCGGAAATGTCGTTTTATGCCGATATTCGGCTGGTTACCACGATACAATCGAACGAAAGCTATATCGGATCTCATTGCGGGTATCACTTTGGGTCTCACTATGATTCCACAAAGTATAGCTTACGCTGCACTAGCCGGCCTGACAGCGCAGGTATTATAACTCCTTTTTTGTTCCTCCTATTGTCATTTGTATCGTCTTGATTCGACAAATTATTGATCTATGCAACGTACATAAAAAAATTTAAGATAAGAAGCAGAGGAGAATATGTTTAAGTGCAAAATATTTTCATTCAACGCACTGCGTATATTACACCCTTGGGAAAGTTACTCCTCTAAAGTAATTTATTGTCGTTATCATTATTTAACTTCCTTTGCGATTAAATAACGTCGTCACGTTTCATTCTAGTCGATTCTATAAACCAACTTTTAATCACATTAGTAGCATATAACCGATATAAGTATATCACTGTAAATATGTTGTTACATTAATTTAATATGAAATATTGGAATGTACTCATGCCACTCCATACTGAGGCGAAATAAATTTCCATAGATCAATCAAGAAAAAAAACTCGAAAACAATTCGCATTGCAAAAAATAAAACACACACACATACATAAGTAACAAATTATTAAAATCTCAATTATTTTTTTCATTAAGTTTTGAATTATTATTATTATAATTATTATTATTATAATCTTTGAAGCTAACATGAAACTGTTTTCCAAATTTGTTTTATTATAGCTTTAAAACATGACTCTATAATATATGCGATTGTAAAAATACATCGGAAGTATCAAATAATGTTTATAAATAATGTTTAGTACGGCCTGTATTCTTGTTTCGTGGGCGGTTACCTGTACATTATCTTCGGCACCGTCAGAGAAGTCTCAATCGGCCCATCGTCTCTAATGGCCCTTTTAACGCTACAGTATACACGGGACATGCCAATAGAATTTATAGTGCTCCTGTGTTTTTTGGCTGGATGCGTGGAGCTCTTGATGGGCGTACTAAATTTAGGCTAGTATCGCGATATTATCTATAGTGATTAAAATTCTAATCCTTTTGTTCTCACTTTATCTTATGTCTCATAATTTATGATTTAATATTTATACTCGATGTCAACTTCTCTAGGATTCTTGGTGGATTTTATATCAATGCCGGTAACGTCAGGTTTTACCTCAGCGACGTCGATGATTATAATCATTGCCCAGTTACAAGGCCTCCTAGGATTACAGTATAAATCAGCTAATATTGTCGATAATCTGTACAAATTGTGTGCAAATATCGGCAACACCAGGCTACCCGATCTCGCTCTCGGTATCTGTAGCATCTTGTTCCTTCTGCTTTTCAGAGTGAGTTTTAAGATTAAATAGATGAACCTGTAACGATTATAGAAGCATGATATAAATTATATTTGCGTAGAGTCTGAAAGACATCAACTGTCCTTGCACAGGAGACAAGAGAAATCCTTCCAAAAACGTGCTAATGAAGAAAGTACTGTGGTACTTTTCGATTGGTCGGAATGCTATTATTGTATTCATAACAACCACGATAGCCTATCAACTTGAAACTACTACAGGATCTGCACCTTTTAGACTGTCAGGTATTACTATTCTCTATAGAAAACAATACGTTAAGTAATAGTAATAATATTTTGATGAAATTAATAGTTACTGTAAAGTCGTTAAAATAAACGAGATATTCGTCTACGCAATCGATAGCTTGATGAAAATACTTATTTCTGATTAATTCGCAGAAGTTCTATCCTCTCATTGGCTCATTAACTGTGTTTCAGCTTGACATCATCAAAAAAAAAAAAATAAATAGTTCAGACCATTTTGAACCCGATCAAGAAAGATTACATGTAATTAAATAAAATTATATATAATACTTATATACAATCCATATATGTGCATTTTGTTTCTATATGGTCACGTATATAATCGTATGAAATGATATATGTCCCCGTTGAAAAAAAAAATGTTATTAAATGAAAGAGAAATCAAAGATACAGAATATTTTTACATATTATTTCTTCTTTGTAGGGAAAATCGAATCCGGCCTGCCTACCATATCGCTACCGCCCTTTTCAGCGCAAGTGGGCAATCGAACTTACACATTCCTTGACATGTGCTCTCATTATGGATCGGGCATTGTCATACTTCCTCTCATATCGGTCTTGGCGAACGTAGCGATAGCTAAAGCATTTGGTATCGACTGACTTAATTTCAAATCAAATTGGCATTATCGACGGCGAATTATAATCCTCGCCACATAAAAATGTCATACATTAGTGCGCAATTTTAGACTTAAAGCTAACAGCACGGAATTTGCAAATTACTATTGTATTTAACGAAGACTTCATATTTTTTTAAATGAATTATCTTTCCACAGCAAAGGGTGCTAACGTCAACGCTACGCAGGAAATGCTGACGCTCGGTCTTTGCAACATAATTGGCAGCTTTGTATCGTCAATGCCGACCGCTGGCGCATTTACGAGAAGTGCTGTCAGTAGTGCCAGTGGCATACAAACATCTATGGCTGGTTTATACTCCGGTAATAACCACGAATAAACGATATCAATTATTCTTGTTAGATATTTTTTTGTGAGGGAAAGTTATTTCTAAAAGTATAATCTCGTTACATAACTTATACCTACGTTATAAGGCAACCGGTTACTTTTAAATAATTTAGCAACACTGCCTGAAAGCATATAATTATGTTATCGTGTTACTAATGACAAGAAAACAATGTAATGACGCAGCTTTTCGCAGGTACCATGACGTTACTGGCGTTGAGCTTCTTAACACCGTATTTTTATTACATTCCACGCGCTACACTAGCGGCGGTGCTGATAACCGCTGTGATATTCATGATCGACCTGAGGATCATAAAATTGCTCTGGAAAGGATGCAGTTAGTATCATTATTGTTCCTGCGTAGAGCGCATCTGTGCGTTACACAAAAACTGATCTGAGATAAAGCACCGCGATGCTTCTAATATCTTTGCTCCTTGTAGAAACCGATGCTGTCGCGGTGGCAGGTACTTTTTTAATCTGCATATTTGTCAACGTCGAGATTGGATTGCTTCTGGGTATTGTTTACAATTTAGTTTTCTTCATTCGGCCATCCGCAAGACCGACGATTCAAGTCGTCCATCGCAAGGTGAGAAGTCGGGAAACTTATTCTACTTATTATTCATTTGTATTTCGTTTTGTAACCAATATTGAGCTATATAATTTTTTGTCTATTGATTGCTCCGATAAAAGGAAAATTTTCGGAATATTTTAAAAATGTGCTTAATCAGTTGCAAGTTAAGTTTATTTTTTAATGTTTTACAAGTCTGCAAATGTCGTTTGTTAAGTGTATTTATGTGAATTTATCTCGTAATGGCATTTATCTTTTTTTTTTACTTTCATGTATTTTTAAAGAACGTTATGCATATATTTTCTTACTTCTGACATTATCAAGATAATAAAAGATCAAAGGGCTTAAACGTATGATGATTGTTATGCTCATTAGATCGACAATCTTTTAAATTAGCAGGATAAAATATTCAGCGTTTCGAGCAAATTGCGTAAACACAGGTGTGATTATTGCAGATTAGCTGATTTCATTGTTTAAAGAGTGCTGTGTTAAAACGATATCGGTTTATACTACGCTATGAACTATAAATGGCAGAAACGACTACATCATCGATTATCATGACGATAATATGATTATTTCTTTGGTTACAACCCCCCGCATATGGTGATTGTATTTTTTTTTAGACTGATTTAGGAATTAGGTACATAATGTTGGAGCTCGACACGTATCTTTCTTACCCTGCAATGACTTTCTTTATTAATAAAGTAATGAACTTAGCAAGAAACGAAGAAGATGACGTTCCATTGATTGTGAACTGCGAGAGATTCGTTAATATCGATTATACTACAATGAAGGTAATTTTTACAATGCAGAAATGAATACTTCTTCTTCGATTATTTGATGCTTTCATAAAATATTCATGATTCTCGCGATAGGGAATCGAAATGTTGTCAATAACGTTGAACCGTAAGCAAGATCGATTCTGGTTATTGCATCTTAAGTCCAACATTGTAAATTGTATCAACGTACTTGTCGATAACAAATATATTCGTCTGATCGGGAACGAAGAGAATATCACGAATGTTCTTCATAGTATGTATGATCAGATAAATTGATATATTATTTTGATTAAGTTAGGTTTAAAGTTAAGGAGAAACTTATAGAATTAATTTAGTTACGTCCTATACTCTATCCCATTAAAAAAATTTTTAAATCAAATTAAATGGAATGTTTTGTATATTTAATCTTTCATTTTGCAGATAATACGTTATCTAGCAGACAGTTTGAAAACTCTATTAATATCAGGTCGAAAAAAGTGGAAGAAGTGAAAAACTCGAATCAAGAAAATTTTTCAAATCCACATTTACAACCAAAAGACTCGGAAGTTATTGCTGAGGAAATGATAGTAATGTTATCCGGCGAATCAAAATTACAATAATCGCAAAAACAAATTTGTTTTGTCCTCTTCGATGATCAGTTATAACGCTAACTTTGTCATAAAGCTACGCTTCAGAACGCATGCTATGTTCAAAAGTTATCCTCTGTAACATATTACTTGACGGGGATTTTATAAAAATACTTTTAAACGTATTTTAAACGTGTGTTTGCGTTGACTTATTCTTCCAAATGGGCAGCATTGTATTGTGACAATCGTCGTCGTCGTCAACATCGTGATCATCGCCGTGCCACCATTGTATCTATACTAAAAATAAATAATAACAATTAATAAAGAATAATTATATTGTTCAATACAAGAGTATATTCTATACTTATAATTATGCATTAACTGAAGACTACGGACAGCGTTTGAAAATGGTATAACCGACGAGGTAATATAAAGACTAACAGCCCTGGGTAAATTTTCGTATTGGCCAAGAGGCCCGAGGGGCCCGGAGGTAATTATAGAGCAATGATAATACCAAATATTTTAGCTATGCTAAAGCAGAGAGGAACGTGAGAGCGGCCAACACGGTGTTTTCGACGACACCGATTTTTCGCACTGGGAAAGGCCGCCATCTGCATCTATTTTGAGAGGGGAACTACGAGGCTACATCCACATTCAGGTTTCGGCGGTAAAACCTGTATGTGGTGGCAGTCTGTGCTACATCCATTTTTAGGCGGTTTATGTCCGTGCTACAACCATAATAGCATATTTGACAAGCACGGTCTCGCACATTGTTACGCGTTTATAACATGAATTAACATGTTAACATGTGTAAAAAAAATAAGTATTGACATTCTGTATGATTAATATCATGAAGATCATACGAAGTGTCCGGTAATTAGCTGCCAACCCGAAGTGTGAGGGTAGATTGGGTTGAGACAAACATAAAAGTCCCATACCATTTTGCGAGATTCGCAATAATTATAGAGTTATTAATGACAGAAATCTGAGGAGTAAAAGCGCGCCGACATAGATGATTCGAAAAGCATTGCAGTTGCTCAGGGCAGCGATCATGAATCTTTTCCCTAGCGTGAACTAATAAAAAGTGAAAGACTTCTGTGAATCAGTGAAAAATGAAAAATTTTATATGAATTTGTGAAAATCGAAACATTTCACACGACAATTGAGTCGTTCAACATGGCAGTTGCGCGTTCTGGATAATTCAATGAATACTAAAGAAATCAAATTGATCAAAATAATAATGTCCGTGTAGTCCGAAGGATATTACGTGACACGCAAAATTCGTTTGATATAATATCCAAAGAAAATGTTTCAAAATATGTATGTACAGGTAATATAAACCTTATGCACCGACGAGATATACTACAAAGACTGATGACCTTACGGGATTTAGCGTACCAGAGAAATTTCCCTGGTGAGGCACTCGGGTGAAAGAAGACCGTCTCGCATTTAGCGCAGTAAAATTTAATGGAAACTAATACTTTTCAATCCTTTTCTTCGGATCAAAAAGATTCAGAAATCAGACATATTGAAAATGTCAATACTTTTTAATACGTTTCAATTCGACATTTTATACAGAAAAGTAGGACGAAGGGAATGGGATGCGGGCAACGATACATCATGCGTCCCCAGACGTGTCAAATCGTTTATTATAGAGGAGACTTTGATACGGCAACATGTATTCGAATATTTAATCGTCCCATGGACCACTTATATATAATAAAAAAAAAATTAACGCGGATAAATGAACGATTCGTATCAATTTTTCCTTTTCTTATAGAGCAATGAAAGAGTAAATCAGTATCGAAAATCGAATACCGATTAATACCATAAATCAGTGTCAGAAAATTGTCCAAGTGCAATGACAATTTGTTCTCATTTTTCAGGTACTTACCCCTCTAATCTCATTCAACAAATTAACTCGGATAAACGAATGATTCGTATAAATTTTTTTTGTCTTGTAAAACAATGAGAAAATAAATCAATACCGAAAATCAAAGACCGTTCAATATCTAATTTTTTCATCAAATTAACGCGGGTAAATGAACAATTTGAATCAATCTTTTTTTCTTTTATAGAGAAATCAAAGACTAAATCAGTATCGAAAACTGGATATTGATTAATACTATAAATCAGCGTTAGAAAATTGTCTAAGTGCAATGACAAGTTATTTTCATCTTGCAGGTACTTACCCCACTAATTTACTCAACAAATTGAGTCGGATAAAAGAACGATTCGTATTCAATTTTTATTCTGTTATAAAGAAATTAAAGAATCAGTCAGTACCGAAAATTGAAGACCGATCAATATTTAATTTATTCATCAAATTAACGCGGATAAATGAACGTTTCGTATGAAATTTTTTTCTTAATGAGAAGTGAAAGAGTAAATCAGTCAAAAATCGAATGTCGATTAATACCATAAATCAGTGTCAAAAAATTGTCCAAGTGCAATGACAATTTGTTCTCATTTTTCAGGTACTTACCCCTCTAATCTCATTCAACAAATTAACTCGGATAAACGAACGATTCGTATAAATTTTTTTTGTCTTGTAAAACAATGAGAAAATAAATCAATACCGAAAATCAAAGACCGTTCAATATCTAATTTTTTCATCAAATTAACGCGGATAAATGAACAATTTGTATCAATCTTTTTTTCTTTTATAGAGAAATCAAAGACTAAATCAGTATCGAAAACCGGATATTGATTAATACTATAAATCAGCGTTAGAAAATTGTCTAAGTGCAATGACAAGTTGTTTTCATCTTGCAGGTACTTACCCCAATAATTTACTCAACAAATTAAGTCGGATATAAGAACAATTCGTATTCAATTTTTATTGTGTTATAAAGAAATTAAAGAATCAGTCAGTACCGAAAATTGAAGACCGATCAATATTTAATTTTTTCATCAAATTAACGCGGATAAATGAACATTTCGTATGAATTTTTTTTTCTTATTGGGAAATGAAAGAGTAAATCAGTACCAAAAATCGAATGTCGATTAATACCATAAATCAGTGTCAAAAAATTGTCCAAGTGCAATGACAATTTGTTCTCATTTTTCAGGTACTTACCCCTCTAATCTCATTCAACAAATTAACTCGGATAAACGAACGATTCGTATAAATCTTTTTTGTCTTGTAAAACAATGAGAAAATAAATCAATACCGAAAATCAAAGACCGTTCAATATCTAATTTTTTCATCAAATTAACGCGGATAAATGAACAATTTGTATCAATCTTTTTTTCTTTTATAGAGAAATCAAAGACTAAATCAGTATCGAAAACCGGATATTGATTAATACTATAAATCAGCGTTAGAAAATTGTCTAAGTGCAATGATAAGTTGTTTTCATCTTGCAGGTACTTACCCCACTAATTTACTCAACAAATTAAGTCGGATATAAGAACGATTCGTATTCAATTTTTATTCTGTTATAAAGAAATTAAAGAATCAGTCAGTACCGAAAATTGAAGACCGATCAATATTTAATTTATTCATCAAATTAACGCGTATAAATGAACGCTTCGTATGAATTTTTTTTTCTTATAGAGAAATGAAACAGTAAATCAGTACCAAAAATCGAATGTCGATTAATACCATAAATCAGTGTCAAAAAATTGTCCAAGTGCAATGACAATTTGTTCTCATTTTTCAGGTACTTACCCGTCTAATCTTATTCAACAAATTAACTCGAATAAACGAATGATTCATATCAATTTTTCTTGTCTTATAAAAGAAAAGAGAGAATAAATCAGTACCGAAAATTGAAGACCGATCAATATTTAATTTATTCATCAATTTAACGCGGTTAAATGGACGAGTCGTATCAATTTTTTTTTCTTGTAGAGGAATGAAAGAGTAAATCAGTACCGAAAATCGGATATCGATCAATACCAGAAATCAGTGTTAGAAGATTGTCCAAGTGCAATGACAATTCGTTCTCATTCCCGAGTTTTTCCCGAGTCGAAATATTAATTCTACATTGATCCTGCAAATTGCATCCAATTTGAAAAATCAATGTAGAATATCTAGGTGCGCAATAGTGAACAAGCTTTGTCCTACCTGAACGTTATATCTGGCTACTCTCGCAGTCTCGCCCTTGATGAATCTTCAACAGCGACGTATTCCGCAGTTTTTAATACTCGTATTTAATACTTGTTTATCTCGATAATATATATGTACTTAATCCTTATATTCTTAATTTAAATGAGCAATTTTTGTTGATATTGATTATATATTCGCTTAACAGCGCAAGAAAGAGAACAAAGATAAAAACGTAAATAGAACTGCCTTTGTTAGAACTGCACGTGAGATAAATATATAAGGATTAAATAATCATATAAGAATTAGAGGAAATGGGAGATGAAAAACACTTTTTATTCTCATCATTCTTAAAGTTCTTTTTTCCTTTTTTCTTCTCTTTTTTTTTCTTTTCTTTTTTCTAATGAGAATGATGAGAATTGTAGCTCTTAAAAGAGCTGAAGCTGCAAAAAGACAACGGTTATGTCTAATAATGCTGTTTCACTAATAGAGATTTTAATTCAGATTCGGTACAATAAGAAATATAAATAAGAATGAGAAACGGACATTCTAGCAGATTCTAAACGAAAACAGCAATCTGAGCATTATTAGACGAATAAAAATCAACACTTGTAAAATTTATATCAGATTCTAAGATCATTATTCATAGTTTTCTAAATTATGTGCAACTTTTTATTAAGAACATAATTAAAAATTTGTGTTCATAAAAACCTTAGCTTGCCTCAGCAATCTTGCTTGAATAAACATTCATATTTTATGAGAAAAGAAAAGTAGAACTCATGTTACGTGAAATTAGGTTAACGAATAATCAAATCTCAAGCTATTTTATTATTTTTCAGATGATAAACTATGAATGCTGATCTAATTTCGACTCGGGTATGTCCTTACTTCGAGTAAGGTCCATTAAAATCAGAAAAATCCTGCGTAATAATAATGACTCGAGGTACCTCGAATACCATATATGATGTATCGCTGTCCTCGGCTACGTCTCTCGGCGCGCTCCAAGTCCTCTCTCCATCCTGACTTCTCGATCCGACGTCCTCCTGGTTCTGGTCCTTCGTCGCAGCACCCCCGGATACTCCATCGTAGCACTGGCGACGACACTGACTCTAGCTCTAACACTCGCGCAAGTAAGATTCGGGGACAAAGAAACGCGTATTAACCGACACTGCTCTGCGTCGCGGCATGCGCGTCGTTCGTCGGCCCGAGGCGCAATGTCCTTTCCGCAATCACGGAGTCATATATAAGCGTACGAAAACAAACAATCGGGAAGGCACGGTTACCCCCCATCTTGCCGATCAATGTTAATGCCTGCGTCGTCCGTTAGCTGAAAATGAAAACAACTCGTGTTTTCAAAGCATGCCTGAGAGAGAGAGTCGCTTCAAACTTCACAATAATTATTTACGTCTGTTCCAAGAATCATATTACGCTGAATTCAAACTGTCTCTATTTTGACATGACATACACGAGATCTGCGATCACATCATTGATCTTTCTTTGGACAAGAAAATTCTGAGAGGAACGCTGTTCGAAATATCACATTTTATGTTTCAGGTGCCTTGCAGATTATCGAATCCGATGTAACAGATAAGGGAAAGTATGAATGCGTCGCTATGAATAACATGCGTGGGCACGGAGTATTCCAAGTCAACGTTTCACGTTATAACGTTTCACGTTATACGTGAAACGTATGTATATTTAATTATATAAAACTTACCTTTTTAAACAAAAAGGTAAAAAAAAGGTGCCAAGTACAAACGCAACACGTATTGTGTTATTTTTAGAAGTATCAAACTCAAATTATTTTTTTTATTGTATATATGTGTACATAAGTTTTTACAAGTAAAACTTATAACTATAATAAAACTCTGCAACACTTTTCTACTGTACAAAAGAAGTGATATATTAGAACAGTAGCACCAACTGAGAAATTCCGACTTATTCCCGGAAAATTCGTCAAACGTCAAACGAAGGGCAAAAAGTGTCGTCGCTCGCGAGCCGATCAACACAATCGGCGCGATGTAAACATTGCGGGCCTTGGCGGCGGTTGAAGCAAGAGAGACTTGCCCTTTTCTTTTCTCGAAGGTTCCAGGACAACGAGGGAAATGCGAGGAGGCCTTTCAACTGTACGCGACATTGATTTACTATTTATTGATTACTGAAAATAAAGAAAATTATTCTGTCGAAGCATCGGATATTTGTTAGCTTTATATTAATTAAAGAGGAATGTGTACGATTAGAAAATATGTTAGCAACTAATTGTACAGAATGTCAAAGTTATTGTAACGCCGTTTTCGGAGAATAATTAAGGGTCATGGTAGCATTAAAGAGTGGAATTTCATCTCATGCGAATTTTGTCTCGTTCTTATTAAATGTTAGATTATCCGCTGCGGACAATAACTCTTCTACTTTTCATCTAATATTCAATGATAATAAATAACATTTAATTGCATTCGTTTGGCTTTTTTTTATTTCGAAAATAAAAAAATATATACCAGGGTGAGATTTCACCCATGACAACATCAACGTGATTTTCTTTGATGCCTTTTTTAAAAGTTCAAATATTTCGTCGACTTGCGGGATATTTATAATCGGAGTCTCGTCGCGTTAATTAACATGTGCTCCTCCGAGCGGATCAAATGCTCACCGACGGCCATTGTCAGTGCCACGAGCGAATGTCCGGAGCGGACGGGATGCTGAATTGAGAAGCAGGACGAAGGGAACGGGACGCGAGCAACGATACATCATGCGTCTCCAGACGTATCAAATCGTTTATTATACAGGAGACTTTGATACGGCAACATGTATGTAGAGGATTTAATATTTAATATGTACTTTTATTTTCCCTGCTCCCCCCCCCCGCTCTTTTTAAACCTTCGGGCATAGTCTGGCATAGAGATAGTAACTATGGTTGCAGCACGGACATAAACCGCCTGATAGTGGATTTAGCACGGACTTCCACCACATGCAGATTTTACCACCAAGACCTAAAAGTGGATGTAGCATCGTAGTTCTCTCAAAATGGATGCAGATGGCGCCCATTTCCAGTGCGAAAAATCGGTGTCGCCGAAAACGCCGTGTTAGCCGCTCTCAGCTTCCTCTCTGGCTAAAGATAACACGAATATTTACCTTATATAATATCTTGATTACCATCGCGATACAAATTACTAGCCATATAAAAATATCGTATAAATATATCGTTACTATAAGTGCCTGAAAAATTATTTACTTTTTTCCGAAACATGGAACATTGAGTTTCAAATATTTCCAGTGGTCATAGGAAGTTAGGAAAGGTGTCATTTTCTTCGTCTCGTCGATCACAACTGAATGCAATTTCAAAAGTTCACGAAAAGCGTTTTGTTTGGATTTCCATAAATTTCATGTACCTATAAAAATAAAAATCTAAATCAGGCGCTTTTTGTGAACTTTTAGGATTGCATTCGGTAGTGCTCGTCGAGATAAAAAAATGATACCACGCGTGACTTTCTACGATCACCGGAAGTGCCTGAAAAAATCTTTTACATTTTCCAAAAATATTCATGGGCCTATAGAAATGAAGCCGAAGCACCTTCGGCGACCATGTACGGTCGCGGACATATAGTAAGTACCCATTTTTTTGCAACTTTCGGAACGTATACCGAGTCGAGAAGAATGAGAGTCACTGCTCCGCTTGCGGAGCACGTCTGCGCAGTGACTCACAACGAAAGGCGAGAAATGAAATATACGCGGTGGGACATATTTGATCTGTTCTTTGTAGCTGCACTATTGAACTGGTGCAATAAATTAAAGTGAGACAAATATATTATAATATATTATTATAATATATATATATTATAATATATTATTATAATATATATATATTATAATATATTATTATAATATATATATATTATAATATATTATTTCATTATATTTTTCTACTTTCTTCTTCTCAAGAAATACTTTGACACACTGTATCTACAATATAAAACATAATTATAGATATTTACCTTTCCACCTAAGCGTGGAAATGATACGTGAGATATCGTTTTAAGATATGACTTCCATTTTGAAGTCTTTTGAAAGAGATGGACGAGATGAATCATTAGCTGCCACGAATGCACAAGTCAATATGTCCCACCGCATATATTTCATTTCTCCAGGGACTGTCCTCGAAACTTTGTCTGGTATCGTGGACAAGAATAAGCCTCTCACAGAGATAGCGAAGGATGAGTTAAAGGAGAAGTGAGGCTATGAGGCACCTTTATCTACATTTACGCAAGTTCTTACCTACAAATATTGGTCTCAAATAATTATCACATTTTACTTGTGATGCCTATCATTAATTCTGTTCTGCTATAGACAAATATCACATATATCACATATATTAAAAGCAATTTCCAACGTAATTTATGTTTCTTGTTATGAACTGAAATGTATCTTTTTTTCAGTTCAATATTTGCCCGAAATCCACGGTGCGCAGCCACGGCAAGTTCTGCGGAATATCTTCCACGCGAACGTCAATGAGTATTTATTTGACACTTCGTATATGTCATTTTTCGCCTATCGTTGTGAGTCACTGCGCAGGCGTGCTCCGCAGGCAGAGCAGCAGCTCTCATCCCTCTCGAGTCGGAATGCGTTCCGAAGGTTACTAAAACAAGCTCACCAACTATTAGGCCTGTTCGTTTTGTCTGCACTGCTGAACTGGTGCGTTAAGTTAAAGTAAGACAAATGTAGTTTTTCTCACTTCAACTTGTTGCACCAGTTCAGCAGTGCAGACAAAACGAACAGGCTTATTATGTCCGCGAGTGTACTTGTCGTCCACTTGCTCGGCAATTAAATGCTCGACGACCATATTCTTCGGCTGATACGAAAATTTATTCAGGGCTGTCAGTTTTTATATTATCTTAACTGTGTTCCAATATTCACTGCCAGCACTGAAAATTTATAATATACGTGACACAAACCATGTATTTTCCGTACTGGCAGTGAATTTTGGAACACAGCCCTTATTGGTGGTATTGTATAATGACGTAGTTCTCCAACTTAAAATTGATGTAGATGGCACATCAAACAGTCCTGAAAATTATGGAGGATTCACACTGCGTCCGATGTCCGACGTACGACGTCCAATAGGAGAATAGCTTTCTAATGGAGAATTCAATTCTCCATTGGAAAGCTGTCAACTAAAACGCCGGTATAGTTTTCTTTCTGCTGCTAAAGGATCTGTTCTTTATAGTTGCACTACTGAACTAGTGCAATAAGTTGAAATGAGACAACTATATTTTTTCTCATTCTAACTTATTGCACTAGTTCAGTAGTGCAGCTATAAAGAACAGACCCAATATCAAATAGTGTGTGAGTGGCGTTGGAGCATCTATTGTATGCACAGAGCCATTTACTGAAGAAGAAGAATATCAAATAGTATTTGTTCGTGACGAATTAATAAGAAATACTCGTATTTTCGCTCTTGTTTGCTTTTTTTTTTTTATGTCAGTGCTACTTCACCTTTTAACATATTTTGGAATTATTTTAGAAACACGTGTAATACACATATACGCATATTACTGAAGAATAAAATGTATGTATGTATTTTCATAAATTAAGGTTAATATTGAAAAAATGAAATGATTCCTTACTGTTTTGGCTGGAAGTTTACAACATGATATAATTTGGCGCATAAAATATGAATTTCAAAATTATAATCGTTACTCTCAAGTAAGAAAAAAGTTATTAAGTAATTGATGACAATTTTGTAGTTAAATCTGTTGACTACACATGAGCATGCACAGTGAGTAAAAGTGCGGGCAATTCGAAATGTGGTGAATATTTAAAATATTTTAGAATATTTAACATTTATTATAGTATTCCTTTAACATTTGATAACTTTTTTTTCACTTAAGAGCAACAATTTTGATTTTTAGATTCATATTTTATGCACCAAATTACATAATATCATAAATATTATGTATCCAAATTGGTAAGGAAATTTCTTTTCTTTAATATTACCAAATTAAGGAATAAAATTAGTATTAACATAAGAAGATGCTGCCTTGTTTAAACTGTAATTTTCTTAACTGATGTTCTTTTAATCACAGATTTAAAAATGAATGTAATTGATGTAGCTGAAAGAAAGCGTTTGCAATCTTTAAAGGAGAAGAAACTGGTGTTTCAAGAAAGGGAGAAGATTATACAGAATGCATTAGCTAATTTAGTAAGAAGTTGACTAACTTCGTAAGAATGTGATGAACGCAATGTGTTTCATGATCTTTATTTCTATGATTATTTTTACTTTATCTTATTTTTACAGCATAACACACGCAATAACAAAATTATTTTTGACGATGACTTTGGTGAAAATCAGCAAAGTCCAAAACTAGAAGAGAAAAAAAAAGTTAATTTGTTTGATGACGACAATAATGATAATGAAGATTCTCTATGGAATGAGGATACATTCAACGCTAAAAAACATAAAAAAGTTGATATCTTATATTTATTTAACTTGGCTTCCAAATTCATTGATTAATTGGCTATTGATACAATTTGTTTCTTATAACAGGTTATTCTTGGTTATGATGCAAGATTTACCTTAGATAAACGTTTTACTGAAAATGATCATCAGAATGAGGTTGAAGTTATTGCTGATATTAATGAATGTGACTTGCAAAAAGAGAAGGAGAGAGAACTAAATATATTAGAAAGTGTCTTGGGAGCACCTGTTACACACACAATGAAAAGTCAAGAAGCAAAAACATCTAAGTAGGAATATATAAAAGCTTGGTTGATTCTATGTATACTATCTGAAATATCAAATTGTTTTACTACTGTCAAAATTATATTCAACATAGCATGCAACATACAGTTTACAAAATCTACCATCAAATTTAACTTTCTAAGTTATTGTACATAAATAATATTGTGTGTAATTATCAAATTTATAGAAAAGGATTGATGATACGGTATGATCCAACTGAAAAAAAACATTGCGAGTATGAAATGAAACCTATACAATCTGAAACAAAGGAGAAAAGTTCCAAGAAGAAGAAATCTGAAAAGGCAGAAATCGAGAAATCTGTACCTGTGGAAGTATCCAAAGATATATATTACACTATATCTGAAACTCTGACAGAAAGCTTGAAAAACAACGAAAAATTTAGTTTACTGAAAACATGCAGGAGAGAAAAGAACGATACAGGTATTTATTTCAACATTAAACATATTTATGTTTTTGTGCTCTTTTTGATTGTTTCTAATTTTTATATTTTCAGATGTCGATGACCGTGACGCTGAAAATAATGATATTAATCATGCCGATATATCTAGGAAAAATGATAAAGATGAACAATTTAAATTTCATTTTAGTGCGAAGAATACATCTAAATACGAATCTGATAATGAAAATATAAATGAAACATTCGATATGGATATACAAGTGGTTGAGCAGTCTGAAGATAATAATTGTATAAATGGCCTGTTTGGATATAAAGATACTCTCTTTTTAAAAGACGATGATGTGCGATTTAACGGTATGTATATTTAACGGCGGATTATCAAAATAATAGAAACGTTATTTACAGTGTAGGTAAGGCAGAAAATATATTTTCAGAGGCTGTGAGATTCTTCAACATAGAAGCTGTATCAAATGATGAGTTTAAGAATTTGAGACGTGAGTTGAAAGTTATCGTACGTACAAAGATTCGCAGAAATGAAAGAAAATATCAGTCATGGAATAAGAAAAGGAAATTAAAAAGATCATAATATTTTTCCATTGTCTTTCGATTCTATATGAAAGTTTGATATGTAAAATAGCATATTATATATATTGTAATTTGTATATATACAAGTTTATGAGTTTATTGACCGTTTTTTATGAAGAACGATTTTTATACAGAAATAATTTAACAAGTTTAACAAATTGCAATCCATTTTTAATAAAAGTTATATAGTTTTTCGACAAAAATACATAGCTGTTTATGTATTAAAAGGAATTCTTATACATACCATGTGACACAATATAGAATATTTTATAAATCTTTAATTTTTCTCAATAAAAATTATTTTCTTATACACAACATTTTTACCAAGAGCACCTGAGATTATTAATATAATTTAAATAATATTTGATAATGTTCTTAGAAAGAATCCGATGGACATAATATTGAGAGAAATAAAATAAAATAATTCAATATCTTTCTATATTGACACAATTCATCTTTCAGTAACTTTAAACTTAATGTAATAAAGTAAATATATATATATATATATGTGTATGTATGTATGCATATACACATATACATATATACATACATGTATAAGTAAATATATAAGTATATATTTACAATACAAACAAATATATATATATATTTACTTATTATATATATATATACACATCTTTTTCGATATATCAGTCTGTGCTTTTAATATAAAAAATGCGCTTTTATGATTCTCTATGATAAAGTTTCTCCAATATCTTCAAAAAAATACCATGTGGAAGGCCTCGTGACATCTGTTGTATGTGGGTATTTAATAAATTGTATGTTTCTTCTTCATACATGGAATACATGTTCATTAGGCCGAGATCATTATAAAGTTGTTTCACGCATCTTACTTTTTCTGGATCTGAGATTCCATAACATTCCTGCATGATATTAAACAGAGGTAATTGATATAACAGTGATAATTTTCACAAAATGCATAATATTTACAAAATTATTTTACTTATTCCATCGATTCCCTATCTTTTAATAGAATGGCAGAATTTAGAGAAAGATCTAATTGTAAGTAACAGGGACAGTGTCGTTTAGTAAATCTCACTTCTATACTCACTTCTAGAATTTTTCGCTGTTCTGGTGTGACACGTTGAAGAGCCACAACGACCAGCCACGTACATTTTCCCTCCTCTATGTCGGAACCAATTTTACCAGTAATCTCAGGTTTTCCATAACAGTCCAAATAATCATCCTGTACTTGGAAGAAATGCCCCATTTCCAACAGAATCGTCTTTGCTTGCCTGAACATCTCTTGGTCCTTTATCCCAGCCTAAAACGATGCAATGGAAATTACTGCTGAAGATGTCATTAAATTAAATAATTACATATTTACTTTAATTATCAAGCATGAGTAGTAAAAAATTTGTTGCATATTTATATGCAATAACACTTATGTGCATAATATAAACAAAACCCGAATAAATACTTACTACATGCATGGCAACAGTTACTGGTAGAATGAACGTGTAATAAGACGATTTATAGTTGACGATTGAATTATAACGATCCATGGTGAATAAATTCAAATTCGGCATTTTACCAAAGTTAGTCGACTGCAAGTCTAAAGATTGGCCCAAAATAGTTTTCAGAGTGATCTATTGAAATACTTTTATGAGTAATCGGTCGATTAAAAAGAAGAGACATGATAGGTGAACTAGCAATTTTATTGAAGTATGTAAACAAGAGGAATATATCCATCACTCACATCCTGGAATGTTTCTACCAGGTCGACGTAGCAGTTTTTCCCACTAAAGGACTTCCGAAGTAGCTGATACATAATACTCTCTATCATTAAACTGTCGTTAATTGCAGCTAAACCCATATCATTATGTAGATACCAACACGGTTGATTTCGGCGAAATTGAGACCGATCTTGAATATCGTCAATCATAATAAAAAAGGCATGTAGCTGTACAAGAAAATATATAATCAAAATTGACATGGGATTATCGTGGGTGGATTTACTAAAGTTCGTATAAATTATACGGGTACAAATAGATATTTATAAAAGTATATTTAAATTTTACGAGTTTACAGGGTCTTTCATGAGATTCGCCACGAAGAATAAATACGAGAGTTAAGACGGTACCACATCCGGTTACTGTATCATTCATTAGTTATTAGAGTAAAAGAAAAGTTTTGGAATAGGAAATGTGTTCAACTGTATTACAAGTATCATCTTATGAATATATCTCTCTGTTTCTAAGTAATCTATAAAAATTTTTTTTAGTAGAATTTCTTCACTTCTGATGAGATCAATCAAGAGTTCCGCGGTTAGGAGTCAAGAGCATTAATTTTCAATTAGTTTAGTATTGATTTACATGAAATAGGCAAAAAAAGAAAAGGAAGGTAAAAAAAATTACTCACTAATTCCACACACCATGCTAAAATCCGTATCGCCCGAATGTTTTCTTCTGTAATTTGATCACTGGATACCAGCATTTTATAAGCGTAAACTAACGCTAAACCGCGAGTTTTCTTCCCTCCAGGAACATTATACTGTAACACCTATACGAGAGAAATATAAAATATACATTTACAAATCGTTCTCGTCTTATAAACTTCTTATTAAACTTTAGTGAAACCTTCAACAATGTTTTTTTATCTTCTGCAACAGAAAAGTGTTATGACATAAAATTTATTGCGCGCAAAATTGATAATATTGTTTCAATAATCACATATATGTATATATATCATAGAAGTCTTGATAAGGAATTTTTCTTACGTTGCTTTATTGTATTGCTATAACATATTAAGTATATAAATTAAATCTGTGCCTTTTGTGGATTACAAAGTTGACGTTTGAACGCTACCTTACGTCCAGTTTACAGAAAAACACTTGACTTTTCTTTTCATTAGATCTTATCTTCTCATTGCATCTTATCTTACTGTTATATCACACCAGTTCGTTTATTGATTTTCCGCTCAGATATTCTGAAGTCTTGATGACAATTTAATTGCGGTTTTTCAAACCGCACATTTTTGTGAATCACATAAAGAAAAAGGAAATTTAAGTCGTAATATTTAAATTTTACCCTCCTACATAATATCATCATTAATTACATTACATTACATATTATATATTTTGAATCATAATGTTTATGTAATTTTTCTAACCCCTTTAGTGAAATTTATTTATGCTAGGATGAAATTATTTATTAATCGTGTTTATTTATTGCATAAATTTTAATTTTCACTTTTAATTCATTGAGAATCAATTTTCATCTTCAATGTGTTTATTTTGCCCAAATGATCAATTTGTTCTTTCCTGATCTACACTTTTTAAATCAACAATGACTTACCTTCGCTATCCATTTACTAATATTTGGAATGTCCGAATGTTGGCAAACTTCTGTGAGATCCCGAACAATATCCGGCCACACGGCCATCAATTCGCGGCTTTCGTCCTTACTTGTTACCCATGTCGGTTGTGTCATGGAATGGACCATTCGTATATTACCGTCCACTGTCCTAAAGAAATTAACAAATAAATTAGAACATATTACAAACAACAATAGAAAATTACAACATATTTCGTTTGCGATAAGGGGTAAACCGCTCAGGATATTATAATATATAGGATTCGATTAATACATATTATGATAGACATTATTAAATCATTGGGTACGGTTTTGCAATAAATATCCTATAATATTTTTATAGTATGTATATTTTAAAAATAAATATGTATAATAAATGTTTTATAAAGAAGTGTATTTTTTACGTTAACTTCAAATTACCTGATGAGATAAATAAAATACAAAATATTCTACATTTTTTATATTATGTAAATTCCGAATTTCTGAAACCGATTTCGAAACAGGCCTATTGTAAAATTAACGTCGTACGATATATATGTTTAAACTGATGCTTAACGGTGTTATGACCGAAAGGAAAGGCTTTAAATAACAAACGATGGAATAACATTGAATCAATACTCATTATCTTGTATATTGCAAATTTTGAAGTTTTTTGTTGAGTACGACAAAGAATGTTTTTTTGCTTCAACAAAGAAAATCAGGAAACTGAATAATTATTGTATTTTAACTCGGTTTAGATATTAAAGTACATTAGAATAACAATGTATCGTTCAACAAAAGACCATATGTATAAAGGGAGTACAGAGAAAGATCACACAAAAGAACTTGCTTCAAAAATACTATAGACCTTAAAATGTATGTTCTATACAGGGTGTCTCAGAACTTTGGGACACAGGTTCCGTAAGGATATAGAGCTGAGTGAGAGGAACAAAAAAGTCCTGTGCCATAATGTGAAAATCGTAATAGCTTTTTAATTATAACAGCGCAGAGTTAGGCGTTTTCTACGCCCAGCGCGGCCTATAGACGCTCCGCGGCAAGCTGTGTGCGTAGGGGCTGAGTGATAACGCGCCTCGCGCTGATCGTCGCGCGGCGTCAAAACGCGGCCAAGGCGCCATCGCGACAGGTATAAGCAGTATTTTATATAAAGCATGAATATAATTTCAATAAATTCGAAGCTTATTCTCTGTTTCCTATTTTCTTCACTTTCTATCCTTTCTTTTTTCTCTTCGCGTATTTTCTATTCTTTAACTAAATGGCAAAAAAGAAGATATAAAGTATTCTAGTTTCTCACTTTTATATATATTTTTTACAATACTTATGTTATATCTACTTTGTAGATTTATTTAAAATTTATTACGGTAGAAATTTTACAACATATAACATATAAAATTAATATTATATAAATAATAATATAAAATTAATAATATAAAGTATAAACCTATTTATTAACCTCTTAACCATTCAGATGAACTGTCACCTAAAGTTTAGGTACAAAAAAAAATGACAAAAAATGACAGAAAAACGATGACAGCCGCATGCAGCCACAAAAAAATGTTACAAAATTACATAATATAGTCACAACTAATAAATACATAATTTTTAGCCCATTTTCTAGCACAAAAAGAGTGGGCAAGAGTTTGGAAAGCTGCCATGCTACCACGAGCGATAAGACTGAAGAAAAAAAATGAAAAGTTAAGTGGTCATTTGTAAAGGTTTTTACATAATATATTAAAAGATTAAATCAACGTGACAGAGGCTGTCTGCATTGACGAAATTATGAATTGATTTCTTTAAATGCTTTTTTACATTCTTATAAAGTTTATATAGTCGAAAATTGAAAGAACGGGAAATTTATAAAATTGAAACCACATGTATGAAATGACAAATCCTAACCGTGATGTCATTAAACCTGGAATCGAAGCGTTCGCTTTGTAATATTTTTTAATGAATTTTATATCGTTCAAACTTCAATATCAGTCTCGTCTAGTGTGCAATCCTTAAACCTTTTGATCGACTATTCCTATTCGATTTTAATCATGAATTCTTCTCTCTTATCCTTCCTTTATCTTTTAAATATATATTTTACACGCATGCAAACGCATATGCAGAGCAGGTGTACGTCAATGTGGTATTATCGGTTCTTTTTATCCTTTCTTTTTTCTCTTCGCGTATTTTCTATTCTTTAACTAAATGGCAAAAAAGAAGATATAAAGTATTCTAGTTTCTCACTTTTATATATATTTGATCTGACCGCTGATAAGTATTTAAAATTATTAGTTAACGTCATACTTGCAATTGAAAATGTATTAATTAAAGATATGCAGATTGTTTAATTCCAACAACAAAAAAACGTAGCACAACGTTATGCTTCATTAGTTGCGCGCATGCACGCACCGCCTTCAGCTTTTGAACCACTCTGTGTGTATATGTGTGTGCGTGCGTTATTTAATTATCTATTAATATTTACTCACGCGTGATTTCTTGCGATTTGTGTGAAAATAATTTATTAATTTTAGGCAAGAACCGGCCGATGGGAAGAGAGATGTTGAGGCGCAAACATCGGTGCAATGCGATGTAAAGATGACAACGACAAGGTTCATTAACATGCTCAGGGTAGCAATCATATAATTTTTTCTAAAAGCGGAAATATAAAATGTGTCACGGGAACTCGACAATCTTCATGATTACATAATTTCGCGAACTATGGAAATGTTAAACTCTTCACATGAAACTTTTCACGTTTCTGCTCTTGAGGAAAAGATGCATTTTCACTATCTAGTCAAAATATCAATATCCAGTAATGCAAAATAGAATATTAAGTCTAAACTTAATATTTGTCAAGAAAGATGAAGTAAAAGAGAGAGAGAGAGAGAGAGAGAGAGAGAGAGAGAGAGAGAGAGAGAGAGAGAGAGAGGGGGGGGGAGAGAAGAGAAGAGCAAATTAGTATACCAGCTTTTCGTTGAAAATATACATGCGCAATGACTTAATGCTTATATACGCGATATTTTCTTATGTATTCTTATTTTTATCTTTTTTCTTGGGATCATATGCTCCATCTCTACTTTTCGATATTGACGAATGCAGGAAGCATCGCGGGAAGAATCAAATTCCGTACTAAGACCATCTGTTACAAAAATGTCAACTGCAGCAAGTACATCGGCTACATAATATATTATTTATCGGAGATACACTGATATGTATTTTAAAGCAATTTAAGTTATTGAATATTTGTGGAAATCAATAATTCAATAAATCAGTATTGATAAACCAGTCTAAGTTCATTGCGTAATGATAAAATAATAGGTATAGTATAATATATATAATAATAGGTATTATAATAGGTATATGAGGTACATGATATAATAGGTATGATATAAATAATAATATAACAGGTAGTTCAAAATGCCAATCTGGTTGGTTTCTAATAACTTCCTGAAAACTAAAGAAAGAAAAGAAATAGACCAACACGAATAAAATCTTATTTATTGCTACCCCTAACATGTATAAAAAGACACGAACATAAATGTTCAGCAAGAGAGTTGGACACAAAAATTAATGACTGTTGCTCATGTCAAGAATATGTACCGAAATAGTTCGAAATTTGCATATATGCGTCCATGGTTCACATGACATTACCGTCAAAAAAGGTGGATAAAAACGCTAATAAAAAATTGATGAAAAGGACTAATAAAAGACTAATAAAAGACTAATAAAAACACATCCGTCATTTTTTTTGGCAACGCTTTAAATATCCTTCCAGAAATGAAGTCTCAGATGAAAATCTTCCCACATCATCCCGAAAAACTAAATTCTTATAATATCAAGCGGAGAAATAAGAATGAAAGTCAAATTAAATTGTTTTCGTCGAGCATTTTAAAGATCTCGCGTGATCCGCTGAATCTCACGTTGGATGCGACAAAAACACCGATTCGCGGCCACATGCGAACACGCAAGTTCAAGAGAGAAGGAGATTCACAGATTCTCCAGCAATGTGCGAAACCGACAATAAGTAAACACTATATGACGTATCTAATTGTACGTGTAAGTACGTTACGCTGTACATCTCATACAGCACGTCCGTCAGCTGATAAGCGCGCTGATGCACATCGCACGTACACTTGTGCAATTAACTCGCTTGTATAAAAAACTACACTTGTATAAAAGAAGATGCCATTGTGTTTCGAGGGTCGCGATCATACATATTTATCGTCGCCTTTGCCGTCTTGGCAGACAATGTATCACAGCTTCATCGATAAATATTAACATCAGTAGCGACCCTCGATGACCCTGACATACTTGTCGATTCATAAGTTTGCAATAAACAAAGAGCGACGGCCAAAATGTTTTGCAACTTGTAAAGCCATATCTTCCGTAATGATTATCAAGGAAATGACGCCGACTAAGGGCGCGATTACGATCTAAGGGCGGGATTACGATGAACTTAACGTAACGGGACGCGACGGGACGTGAAGTGACACAAAACCTAAAACACATTGTTTTATATGCGGTTAGTTACGATTGACTTTACAAATATCGGAACTTAACGCGACGTGAAGCTTGCCAATATCAAGTGTAGATGTTGCGTTCCGTCAAGTCGGATTGTTCATGTGACACTTTCAGTCAATCAACGTTATGCCAGGTTATGCCCGTCCGTCACCAAACTGAAAATCTTCTTCGAAAAATATCTCTCACACCAATGGTTCGTATTCGTTTCCTCTTCCACAGTTGAAGATACAAATACCCGGCCAAAATTAAATTTACAAATTGATAATGCCTCACAGCAGAATTCATTATTACGGCACGTTACGGTGATCGTAATATCAAATATAACCTCAAACGCCAAATTCACGTCACGTCACTTCACGTCCCGTCGCGTCCCGTTACGTACAGTTTATCGTAATCGCGCCCTAACTTACAAAAAGTATCGTATAAACTGTATGGCGAGTCTTAAAATGTTTATATTTAATGCCTATTACAATGCACTTACATTGTTGGATGGGAAATTATTGATGTAACGCTTTCTTTATATAATAAACGACTGTTTAATGATAAGAAAGTTTACATATGATGTTGCAATTTTCTTTCCTTTTTACTTTGAAACGCAATTCATTTGACTGATCGGTTTTTTTTTTCGATATTCGATATTCCAATCGTAATGCGCGATTTCATTATCTTATCTTATTTACATAATATTTCATATCAGATAATGTAGCATATTTGTGTGCGGCACCTAACATGAATTATTAATATTTCGGAACGTCACGTATGGACGCATGGATACAGTTTCAGCTGTAGATATGTTTAGATAGCAAGACATTGAATTGCAGATCGCAGCTAGCGCTGCGCATTCCGATGAAGGATAACATCGCAAAATATCCTTTTAAAAAAGGGAAGAAAAAACAAATATACATAAGTGACGCAAATGCTAACGGATAAGACCTTAGATCCTTAGGATGCATCATGCGTAACTTGTACGCGTCTCGCATGGCTGTAGGCGATTTTTGGCGGTCGTTTGGTACATGTACCAGGTTATCATTGGGCTAGTTCATACTAAATATTTAACATATGTACTAAATATCTATACGGCATAAATGTTTAAAATATATTATAGAAACGTCTCGGAAATATTTGGATATCTCTGGAATATATTTTGGACACTTGTGCTTTAAGAATATTTAGTACATATATTAAATGTTTAATGTAAACTAGGCCAGTGACAACCTGGTACAGGTTCCAAATGATCGCCAAAAATCGCCTTATGCAAGCTCATATGGAACGTGCTCTAAGTTACGCGCAGGCTCACCTCCAGTACGACGGATTCCTCAATTTTTCATGTGTCGAGCACGCGCGTTGCACGCCCGTTCCTGCGACGTGCGCGCGATTAACGGCGGTGGCGGCGGCGACGGTGACGTGACGCCGCGCGGTACCGAACGCCGACAGCAGCCGTTTCCGCGCGACGGACATATTTACGGTGTACCTGCTCACGTACCTCGCCTCTCCGGTATATACACACGCCGAGGAAGCGGGACGGCGACAAGAGCGAGAAGAGTTCTCTCGATCAATCGAGTTCGTTCGGTTCGTTCGCACACCGAACGTGCGCGCAGTCGACACGAACTGAGGTAAATGCCGAACCGGACCGAACTTTTGCACTAAACGTGAGTCACGATCACGTCAATTCGGCGTGCTGCGCGACACGCGACACGGCGTGAAGGATAGAGAAGTAACAGGAGAAAAGGAAAGAGTTTAAGCGCCTTGACGTGCGTACTGAGGCCGGAAGCGATCGTTCCAACTGCAACGGAGCGAGTCGCGCGAACGCATTGCGCTGCTCGCTCGGACGCCTCTCTTTTATATCAGTGCCGGTCTTGAGGAATTAAATGGACGAGACAACAAAGTGCATGACTAGGAATTATCAGAAACGCATGGTGGGGAGGGGGACGGCTGTTAGCGTTCGGCTTGAAAATGATCGTACGCTTTGGGCTGTGTTTCAAAATTACTGACAGCGCTGAAAATTTATAGTATACGTGACATGAACTATAGCCTTCGATGCTGGCAGTGAACATTGGAGTACAGCCTAATGATCTGTTCTTTGTAGCTGCACTGCTGAACTGGTGCAATAAGCTAGAATGAGAAAACCTATATTTGTCTCACTTTAACTTATTGCACCAGTTTAATAGTGCAACTACAAAGAACAGACCATAAATATTTGTAAGAATTAAGGCTGATTCATATGTACATTAATGATACATCAACTACAAACCGATTTCACTTTTTTCGATTAACTTTGAGCCAATAGGTTTGTTCGTTTTCGAATTGGTGCAATAAGTTAGAGTGAAACAGCGTCGTTAATTAAAATTGACACGAGAGAGACTCCTAATCAACGAGAAGCATCCAATTCGACACAGCATGATTGGACACAACCAACCAATGCAAAGTATTATCTGGTGAATTACTAGATCCAACCAATCATTTACTTTGTGTCTAATTGTGCTATGTCGAATAGATACACACCCCCGGGACACCGAAGTCCCGAATTTACGCCAAATATTGATACAAATTATTATTTTCTTCATTATGTTTTGTTATTGTTAGCTTAACCAAATAAAATTAAAATATTAAAATGAAATATAGTTATTTAAACTTATATTTCCCACAAAAGACATGATATAGAAAATTAGGTTGAGTGTCAATAATTTCTGCAAAAATAAATATACATTGAAATATTGCATCAATTAAAAATGTAAAATAAATAACACATTATAAACAATGTTTTATATATAATTTTATATATATGTAAAATATAAGTTTAAATAACTATATTTTATTTTAATATTTTAATTTTATTTGGTTGAGGTAACAATAACAAAACATAATGAAGAAAATAATAATTTGTAACAATACTTATAATAAATTTTGTGATATCATTATTTTTGTAGAAAATACAAATAAAATGATAATTTGATTTTGTTATTTTTATTTGGTTAAACTATTTAATATCCTTTTTTAAAAAATAGAATTTGAATAATAATATTTCATGTTAACGTTTTTAGATTTGTTATCATATAAAATAATATTTTTTAGAAACATTTGCTTTTGTATATTTACAATTATAATATTAGCTATAGTTAGTTATAATATTAATAAATGAACAGGAATGAAAGGGAACGCGTGAATTTGGCATTTTTTTACCTTGTTAGCAAAAAGGCAGATTTGTTATACGTCATATCATGGAAATATTTATCCTAATCGAAAGAAATGATACTATTTAATTTTAAGGCAATATGACTATAATTTTCCTAAAATCCAGATTAATACAGCTTTTGGGATAGCGTAGAGAGTAAGTAAACATTTGAGAAAGTAAATAAAAAAATATAATTCGCTACGACACGTCGTCTGGGTAAGCGCGTGACGGCGCGAGTTCCAAAAATTGACGAGACATTTACACGGGCAGTGAGTTCTAAGAATCATGGAGACCTGCAAGCGTACTCGTTGAAAAAGTAATGCTTTCAGATTGAACATAACATTTCGTTTGCTCATTCAGAATGGGTTAATAAAATGCAATTAAAGATATAAAATGTGATGAACTCGTATTAAGAATGAAAATATCAATAAACATTAAATGTATTGTTTCAAAATATTTAAATGAGATTTTTATGTTTCGTTTCACAACCATGATCAGCCTCATCAATTTTTTCATTGGATAATTTTTTCATCGTAAGATAAAAAACACAATATCGCGAAACGAGTAACTGCGAATTGTTATAGCGTGATGTACATAAAATAAACTTACCCCTCGATGATTCCTGATGTCCCTCCTTGCAAAATATATCCTCGGGCACTTAATATTTTTCACAACACAAACACTAAATTTAACTTTGCACAATAACAGGCCATTTTTTTCCACAACACTTCATCACAACACAAATCTTAAGCAACAAACGCGCGTAATTTCACTCGGCACTCCCGACGACCCGGTTTCGTTACGATCCGTTCGTTATTTACTTTCGACTACTTGACGATACTTCGCTATGACAAATGCCCGAAATTTGCTTTCGGTACTCTCGACGAAACAATACATGCCGATATTGATCTTTGGTAATTCAAAATCGCGGAAAATACGCACAATCGGCTTTTGGAATTCACGTACTAAGCGTTGCAATGCGACGGTCGCAATTTGCAATGTGTGCGTATATCGGTGAATACGTATCACTAGCGTACTAGCCAATCAAAATATTCTGTTCGAAACCGTTCGTTCCGTTTGAAATATTCCAAGAAGTCGGCCATGACAGGAAAAACCCCCGAAACTTTACTCGACCCTCCCGACGAACAATGCACATTTTCAGAGAATATTTAATGAAAGTTGTGCCATAGCTCGATGTTTAACGATAATTCGCGGCCGAGACTCGGTTGACGAATCGAAAACGAAGTTCCGCGACGCAAAAACCGAGCTGCCCTTACGCAACTGGCGCATTCAACTTTCTCCTCGGCATTCCGACGATTCATTTCACTTTACTTCGCGCGGGCGGAACGAACGTCATTCCGCTATAACACACGCGCGAACTTTACTTTCGGCACTCCCGGTAACGATTTAAGGCACGAGACTCAGCTACGACTCAGCGAGTCAAAATCATGAAAACTCATAAGCGACAGTTTCTCGCATACTAACATAGCCCGTAACCGGCGCCATAACTAAATACGAAGGCAACTGCGAACAGCGCCACAAGCGGGATACTCAGGAAGCTGAGCCGACCAATCGCGGTGATTCATTTCTTTCCGTGGTGGAACTATTTATCTGCACAGAGTGCACGAGGTGCGGATGAAGGCTGTTGATGATAGATTGATTTAATTCGGAGCTACACGCAGTGTCCGTATCAGACTTTTATAGTGTAACTAGACTTCTATAGTATAGGCTTCTATAGTATAACTAGACTGCTAACTCCGACTTAATACATGACCCCGAAAAGTATGTACCGTCCTGGTGTCCGACATTCATGTCTGATTGATTGAATCAAAACACCTTTCTTCTAATTGAATGGGTCATATTGCTTATATATCCCCTTTCCTTGTGGACTCCAATTCACGCATACGCAGATGTTTGATTCCCTTATGTAATACATACTTTTTGGAGTCAATTTTGTGCTACAGTATATAAGGGAGTTAACAGTCTAGTTATACTATAGAAGTCTGTGATCGGACTACGGATTGGGATTGAGTATTGGATTGAAATTTAACCAATCAGGGCTAAGTTTACAACGCATATGCATGTATATGTTCATAATTAAATATGAAAATTATAAAATTGAATATAAAAATTATAAAAATGGCCACCCCTGTTAGCGTCATTTTGTATCATTGCTAGAAGTTGTCCACGCGGTCTCGAAATATTTCTTCCCGAATTGCAGGTAGTGCGTTGCGTGAAAGATGAGAAGGCGAAAGGGCAAAACAAGAGATTCTAGTTTAGCGATAAGATTTGCCGCTGACTCGCCTCGTGTCTTCTCCTGCCGTGCATACGCTCATCGGTGGTGCGACAAAAACTATGTTTACATGGCAAAGTTAATCCGGATTAGTAACAACTTTAGTTAGTGAATTCTTTGATTCGATTGGTGTATTCTTTTAGATCTAGAAATATACTCTAATCGGTTTCGAAACTGCACTAACTACGGTAGTTACTAAGTCGAAGTTAGAAGCCGTGTAAACGTAGTCAAAGACAGAAAGTGATTGATCGTCTATACTTTTCTATCTCACTATCTTCCTGAAGGAAGTAAAGTGAACAAGAACCGTGCACACTTCCCCGCTATCGTCAGGACGGGCATAGTGCACACCCATTTTCTCCGGGAGCGCGTCGGAAAAAGCGTTCCGGCATAACCGGCCCAGTGGCCGCTCTCAGGTTTCTCTCTGCCGAGACAAAGCTTCATCTGGTAAATCACTAGATCCAACTAATCACGTACTTTGTCCAATTGCGCTGTGTCGAATCGATACACATTCTAAACACAATTGGTATTGCTGTACAGTATTGCCAATTCATTCATATTTCAGTTGTATGCCAATATTGAGATTCATTTTTTATTCATTTTAATTTCATTGTACTATGCTAGGTTTTTTAAATAAATATTTTAAACAATCAACTTACACAAAAACACAGGGAGGTCCTATTTAAAACAAAAATACAGTTGCATCTTCCTGGTATATTATTATATTAGATTGGTTTACTTTAAGCAAGAAAATAATATTCGTTAAGCTTTCTCTTCTATTATTTTTTGTATTTTCTACAATAAAAGACATGAACCATTACAGTCCATGGTAAATATGTGAACATAATGCACAACATATTACAATTTGAATAGGTAAAGTACTATTACTGAAATCTGGGATAAATTTGCTTGCTCATTCATAAATAAAATATATATATTGTTGAATAATATACTAAATATGCTTAAATATTCATCTCAGCTGAAAGTTTTTATGCTTTTGTCACTCTATCTCTTTTAAGAAACAAGTATAGATGATAAGTAAAAGAATTATATATTTAATTAAAGATTATCACTTTATACGAAAACAGAAAGCTCTATAAAAGCATCATTCAAAAACATCATCATATGATAGTAATGTTTACAAGTACCTTTAGCATATGAACGAGCTAAACAAATTTGTGACTTCATATATCTAGATATATTTATGTATGAAATGGCTCTTTATTAGATGGTGTTGGTAATCTATACTTTGCTAATTCTACTTCTGCTTCTGCGATTGTATTCACGTGATAACAAAAATATTCAGGATTTTTATATTCTTTTTCCTTAGAAGCATCTGGTCCTACAGCTAAACAAAAATAAATTAGAATCAGCATTTTAACTTTGTTACAATGTCATGAGACAATAACATAAGGTCTTACAAGTATTTGGCACTTTGACACAATTCTCGCTGAGTCCCTGTACATTTGTATTTATAGTAGATTGACTAGTAAATCGGCCCAAAATTTGTACACTAAGTATCCTTAGAGAAATCAATCCCTGAAAACAATAATCCCTTTCTTTAAAAAAAAAATGTGTCGAGAAGATGTTAAAAACAATGAGTTGATCACAACATTTAAACACGGATTAATTATTCTCAGTACATACCTGCAACGGTGTATGTTTTACTATTACGTGTAACATTTTGATAACTATTAATATTCGAGAAATAAATATAAATTTGTTTCGACACCGATTACCAGGTGAATTCTATAGTCGTGTCATGTATGTACTAGCAGAAGTCTGGTTATGACCGATTTTCTTATAATAGGTCTGTTCCGAAATCAGTCTCGGAAACTTTAGTTTTAGTTATAAGATTGGTAGGCCTTAAACCAACTTCAGGCCTGTTCCGAAATCAGTTTTGGAAACTTTGGTTTTAGTTGTAAGGTTTGGTAGGCTCTAAACTGGTTTAAATACGTTCCGTAATTAATCAGCTGATCAATTATCAAAATAATAAGTAAAAAAATTACCTATTTCTCTGTCTGAGTTAAAGACCTATAATAAAGTATATTAAATATTTTTTTTCTAAAATTGCATTACTTTTTCAAACTTGAGCCAGTAAAATGTGCCTAGGTCGCAATAAATGAAAAATATATTACGAAATTAAATATTGCTTTACAAAGAGCAATTTTATTTCACATTCATGTATCTTATTGTATATTTTTATAAATGAGAGAATTAATTTTTTTACTATACCAATATATTTGGCGTATTATGTACATGAGCTAGAGAATGCGACTTTCACTTAGAGATTTCGATGTGGATGAAATAAATATTATTTGAGAATTTTTACCTCCAAATTTTCTTTTTACGGTGGTGAGGGGAACGTATACTACACGCAAACGAACGTGGCAAGAGTATATTTTGTCCTTTTAATCGTTACCATACGAACCGTTACTTACAAATCAAACTGTGATTGTGGTTGTACGTGTGAGGCCTGCGTGTCTCCTGTAATGGTGTGTACGTGTATATTTTTGCGTGAGATATGTCTCTTTATGAAATTACGTTTATCGTCTAGCATTTCTTAGTAGTACTATTAAATCGCCATCGTTACTTCGATGTTATCATTATATACCTACTTTGATACAGAAAGGCGCTATGTGGTAGTAAATAATACAATAATATAACATTAATTAAATACATGAGCGTAATAGATCCGGCACTTGGGTGAGAAAACAATTACATATATTGATATCGGTCTCCACACATACTCAATCGCGCGAGCGCGACACACACACACACACATGCATACACGTGTACGCGCGCGCACACACACATCAATATATTTATTTTTTTTCGTATTCAACTTTGTAATTAAAGTTCTACGAACTTGCAGGTTTACGAGACGCTCTGTAAAATCGAACGCACGTTTCACCGAAATAAAAATACATCTGTAAATAATACAAGAAACGTCCTCTCACATTCTTTGTATTATTTAAAATTTATATATATATATTTTTTTTATTTATTTATATATGTATAAACGCGCGTATATATTCGTTGAGATGCGTATGTACAAAAATATGTACAAAAATCTTTTCAATAGTTTTTCGCCAACCCCCACCTTCCCAAACTCCTTATAAAAATTGACCATATTCCTCGGTATATATATAATATGGCATCCGTTACCTTGATGATACCTCTTATAAAGTTATCAGCGGCATTAAAAACGATTTCAACATACTTCATTACGTTAACATTAGAACGGCCGAGCTCACTTCGAATATAAAAAAAGAATAAATAAATAAATAAATAAAAAAATTCATATTCCAAATCGAGCAATAAGCGTCTCTCTTACCATGTGCGCGTCGTTAATTTCGTTAAAGTGCACTAATCAAAGCTTTCAATCGTTAGATCTCTCAGCTCTCAGCAAAAAGGAAAAACGGTTTACTAAAAAAACCGCCGATAAGATGACGGCCGTTCCAGTGTTAAGGACGATGTCAACCTCAATTTTCGGAATTTTTCTTCTTTCGACATATAACTCAGATACGATACATTTTTTTCTCGCATTGTCGCGGTCAACAAACGATCTTTCGATGTTTCGAAGCGCCGCAACTGACGTGTTCGGGATTCACTTTTCAAAATCAGTTGCATAGCACGGTACTAGCCACGGTTAACTAAATCCACTTTTCTTTTCTTTTCTTTCTTATCGAACTACATCATCAACAAGGAAGTGGAAACCCGAAGAAACATTCTGCATGAAATAATTATTCATCGTGATTCTACAATCAAGACAACTTCTATTCTTAGACAGAAGTATAATTTCTACATTGGCATAAAAAATATGCGTCCGCCTTGGAAGAAGAAAAGAAAAAAGCTATTATTAATTTAGATTACCGTGTCACAACGTTGTCGCTTGTTTATAGAAATAGCGATGAGTATTTTCGGGTTGTTGCGTTTTCGCCCAAACGCCAATTACATGCGTCTTATGTACAATAGAGAATTGCGATGCAACTGCTGCAGGATGTAGAAAGGTTTTCTGTTTGTTTTGTCGTTTGTTTGCAGTGGAATTTGAACGTTTTCCTCGACGCACTTTTGTAACATAATCAACGTTTAATGATCGTATTTATGTTTCAATATTTTTTTGCAAAATAGGTTCTTTCATTTTATCATGGACTCGTCTCGGAAGGCATCGAAGAAAAATAAAAATATACACCATTTTTCAAACGAATGTTCTGAAAATGTTCAAATATTATACTCTGCTAATTTTTTCGCAAAATCAGCTCCTCGACCGATCAACAGAACTTGTATCTTCATTGTATCAACACGCGAGTATCAAAATATCAGTGTACTTTCAGATGTAGACGATATCCTATGCGTTTGAGAGCGTTTCTTTCACACGATGATAAGGCACATTATATTGAATAATCCTCGTCGCCGAAATCGATGCGAAACATGAGGGACACTTAAAATGAATATGCTTAATTCTTGATAAATTGAGGACAAAAGAAAAGAAAAAAAAAGAAACATGCGTTATATCGAATGAGTCATAAATAACTTTTGACGTGTGATCATATGGATAATATATACATAGATCTAAATTAAATAGCGTATGTATACATTTATCTTTCTCTGTATGTTAATACAGAGAGAAAATGATAAACTGACGATCGGATTGGAACAAATCAGTAATAACGGAAAATATTGGAAAACTTTATGTTCAACGAATGACTTTATATGTGTAACGAAATATTTTATTTGAAAATAAATAAATAAAAAAGGAAGTCAGGAAGAACCCATTTTGAAAACTTATTTAGAACTCGACTCCATAAAACGAATAATTCTGCATAATCCAGACAAAATTAAATTGCTTTCTCTAGATTTTAAGTTTTGATTTTTAAGAGATGACAGACGCTTCCACATTAGCATAACAAAAAAAGAATCTTCACGAGACGCAAACCCGATTTTTCAAGAATACGAATATTGATCTGGAAATGAGCTCTTCAATTCGATGCAACCTTCTCTCCCTCTCCCTCCCCCTCTTTCTCCCTTTTTCTTTCCCATCCTCCATTCCTACCCTTCATAAAATTTTCGAGTTGCAGACCAGCTGCTCGGTGGGGTCGTTATGTGCTTCGACGCACACGCAGAGGAAACGAACGATAATCTCGATAATCGCAATAATCTCGCGTACAACTGCAATCGCGAAACGCGGATCCGGGAACGAGCCGGATTAACAGTATTAAATAACCTATTGAAGAGTAGTGCACTGTGTTTTCTTTCTCTTTAAATAATTTGCGTTATTGTATACGTGTATGTATTTATATATACACAATGTGCCGCGCACTCGCGCACCCTCGTTATATATTATACGCCCATCGGCAAATTGCTTCTAATAGGCACACGCAGCATTGGCACAGATGCGCCGCAAATCGAACAACGATCGCATTCGGTGGAAAGTAAGGCGCTAAGTGAGAGTCCGAGGACAATGGCACCTGATACTGAGAATTAGGAAGCCTGTTCTAACCACGCTGCGATCGACTCAATTTTCCTCCTTGCAGACCGCGCGCTCTGAGGGGTTTCGGGAGACACTGTTCCTTTCAGTGTTCACGACACTGGATGAAGATCGCAGCTTCGAACGCGTGGCTTTCATGCGCGCGAGTCGCTTCGTCACTTCGTTGCCTTCGTCGACAACTTCCATCCCTACGATCTTCCGTTCTCACACCTCCACGCCCAACACTCGGTCGACAACGTACTCGTACCTCTTTGGCTCCCCGTTACCACCGTTGTTCTTCTCGATGGACTTGGCACTCTCATCCTCGCCGTTCCCCGAAGCCGGCGTGCTCGACTCCGTCGTCGCCAGCGATGTCGTGACCGCCGTTGGCCGACCTTTAGTAGACACCGACTTGTTAGTGATATCGTTGGCGGCGGTTGAGACGTCCTCGTCGGTGTTCGTCGACACAATCGTGTTGGCCGTGTTCCGGTCCACCGTGACGCTGACACTCCTCACGGCCGAAGGCGACGCGGAACTGCCGCTAGGAACGCTATTTGGTCGCATCGTCGAGTTTCCAACGTAGCTATTGTGAGTGCTAGTGGTTACGGGTTCCGACGCGTACCTCCTATGCATGTGCGCTTGTGCCACCATCGTCGGATATATATTGCCGTCCGGTCCGAAGTCCTCCGGCGGCAGAATAGGAACGTTCGAATTCACGCGCGTGAAGAAGGCCATTTTCTCCCTGAAACAAGGAAGCAATGATAATCTTCATTTGTTCAATACGGAGACTGGAGTAATGAACTTGAATTATCTATAAACCTAATTGATCCAAATGAGAAATTAGAATTCTATAGTTGATGAATTATTGCGTATACAGGATGTTTAAAATAATCGTTCATGACTCCGACATTAATTTTTCGATCCATGTTGTATAATTTCTATGGCTATATATAACTTTTTTAACGTGTATGTTCTATTATCTATCATAATCTCGGTCTCGTATGTTGATGGATAATTAAAATTCTGCTATATTATTAGACAAGTACTACAGTCTGATATTCGTCACTTACTTGAAGGATATTATATCGGGTTTTCCTTTCGCGACTTTCGTCTTCCTCAATTTGTAGATTTCCTTCGAAGTTTTCTTCAGCATTTTATCTACTTTCTTCTCTTCGGCGCTCCTGCCGTTTTTGCCGTTCTCAGCCAGCGCCATGAGATTTTGGAACTTGTGATCCTCTAACAGCCAGGTCGCTAGATCGGCGTCGCCCTTCTCGCGCGCTTGCTCCAACCGTTGTTTCAGTTCCCGTAACCTCATAAGCTCGTCCTGGAGATTATTCAGTTTGGCATGCTGTGCCTGGAGATCTAACTCAAGGTCCAACGATGTCCTCGCTGTAGGCGGTAGATGGGATGATTTCTTCGAGGTGGTTTTGCAGCTGAGGGCCGAGGACGGTCGGCGCCATCGCAGCGAACGTCTTTCTACCGAATTCCGTTGGAAAGGTCCACCTTTGCGATAAAGGGGCATGCTACTGTCGCTGTCGCTGCGATTAAGCTGTAAATAACGAGAAGACATAGAATTACACAGACTGTCTGTAAAAATTTATATCTTGATTGTGGCGAGGAAACTTAAGTAAAACTAATAAGTAACAAAAGCCAGTAGGTAATGAAAGCCAATGAGTAACGACAGCTGACACGAGCAGCACGAGATAATAAATAAATAGATAATGGAAGTAACAAGAATTTTGTTTAAGTTACAAGGATTTGAAGATTATTCTCTCCTAGCTAAATGTTAAATACTCATGCGACGCGCGCGCGCGCGCATAATGGCAAGCGACAAGACGAAATTGCCTAAAAAAGGAAGTTGACAGAAAGATTCGTTGAAGAAAAACTTACTCGACATATATAATGATTTTTACTGACAGCCGCGCTCGGCGAGAATGTCTGACTCCTCTTGATGACAATTGAGTTCTTGTCGTCGTGCACGGCGCCGGGCGCAACGCCAGCCGCGGATAGTTTCCTCTGCTTCCCTTGCTCCGGAATAAACACACATTCGGTGTTCGTCTCTTTGTCTTCCGTTTGTCTCGTTTCATCGTCCAGCTCCTCGTCCTCCTAAAGATAAGAGAACCATTTGGAGATTAACAGTGGAACAATTTATTTTCATGGAAGAGAGGATTCGAGATCAAATTCTCAGCGCACTGACGGTACCTCGTGCTCCAAAACATCTTCCAGAACGTTGTCCTCTGCCATGAAATCCTCAGCCATGTCTTCCTCGTTGTTACTGCCTCCGCTCCCACTTCCGCTACCGCTGCCTCCCCCCTCGTCCTCCTCTTCTGGGCTACCCAGACAATTGGCCAACTCCTCTAGTCTCAGCGACACGGCAGTCTGCAACTCGTCGCATCCTTGATTTCTCGTCAAGGTGGACGTCTGAGAACTGATGATTGTGCTCTCGTCGCTGCTCTCCTCCTTGGTGTTTTGCGCGCTCCTGTATACCGAAATATCTGACTCCTGTTTGTCGTGTTTGGCTTGCCGAACGACGCTTGTGGACGCGTTGTTACTGGTGCTAGCGCTAGGACTGTCAGACGGTTGCATGAAGCGGAAGGAGAGTATGTTGTACCATTTGACGCTAGGAGATTCTGGGCTGAAGTCTGCCAACGAGACTTGCGCAGAACCCTGTAACAGAATAATGGTGTTCACATAAAAATTAATTTCACAATCAAATGCAACGTGCTTATAAGCTTTTGGGAAGATTCTTAAAACAGTCATCTTAATGAGGTCGGGAGCAAAAAAATACTCTTCAAATTTTTCTAAAATACGTCGAGATAAAAAAGATGTCCAAGAACAAATCATTTGAGCAGATTTACCAAGCATTCCTCGGCTTCGTTGCTCGTACACCAAACATTCACTTGCAGCGTTTTCGTGTACAATTTATTGAGCGGCACAGCGATCGGAAATGTCTCGCCGAAGGTTGGCTTTCGCAGGTCCACGACGGGTTTCGTGCAACACATGTGATTGACGGGCAATTGCATCGGCAGCAAAGCAGCTCTGATGTACCTGAAATGAAGGGAGAAATTATTTTCATTACGAAAGGTTACCTTTCGGGGAACTATCATTGCGACTGCACATATCACTAATCAGATGCAAACCAATCGAAGTTGGGCAGTCCGATTGGGTCAAGTTCGTTTTGATTAATCTGACTGATCCTTGTGCTCAATTGAGATGTGTGCTACTGGGATTCTCACTCGTTTTCGACGGACCATAATCACTTGCTCATCATCATTGACTATCAATTATTTTCTAAACTACTCGAACGGGAAGCGATAGAGAGAAAGAAAGAGAGAGAGTGAGTTATTCTCTCGCCGTCTCTCTCTCTCTCTCTCTCTCTCTCTCTCTCTCTCTCTCTCTCTCTCTCTCTCTCTCTCTCTCTTTCTCTAATTTATTCACTGGTGGAATTGGAAAACGTTAACTCACCGCTATCACGCGCAAAAGGTGGATCATCAATCAAACGTTCGCGAGTAACTGTACATTAATCTGTCTGTCCTTCACCATCCATCGAAGCATCACGCTGTTTTGCGAATTTATGGTCATTGGCCGAATGCACAATGGCCGTGAGGATGAATTCCCAAGTGAGGCCGTAAAGCTAATTACGAGACACGATATCGCTGATAATAGCGAATTCTTATGCAACATAAGTGAGAAAAGGCAACGGTCGGCCGATGATCCAGCCGATGAGAATTTTATAATTACATTTCAATCGCAGCTACATCAGTGGAATCTCAAATGGTGATTGAGCAGCTAACCCCCGTATCATCAAAATCATCGCTTACGGATATCTCAAATATGTCGTTTGGATATAATTAGGAAACTTACACTTCCGCATTATTGGGTATGAAAAGCGCCGCCAGATTCCTCGCGCGTTCAATGCCAACGTGAAGTAATCCGTCGCTCACTGAATACCTAATGAATACATTGTAGAGTTTAATTCAACCGCACATTCCAAGATCCAATTCCAAAATCTTATCGCACGCACACAAGTCCCACAGCAATTGAGTTGTTCAATAAGTTCGTTCATAACAATCTTCTACCATAGAAAAACGGTCACAATGTACAATACCGAATAAAGTTATGCCTAATTATAAAAATTTTAGTTTCAGATTGTTTGCACAAATCCCTACGAACTTATCGAATAATTCAATATTGTACACACACACACACACACGCATATATAGTGATCCATTAAATACCTATCTAAAATATTTTGAAAGAAATGCATTATTCGAAGGAATGTCTCAGATGAAAGTTATTTGGGTTTAAGGGGGCGATAAAACCTTGACCTGATGTTGGTTCAAACTTTTACCCTAAATATTTTTTCGAACAATAACGCATTTTTCTCGAGCTATTTTAAGTGGGCTACCTGGTATATCGCGTAAAAAAGTATTCACTCGTACAACAATTGCAAATTTCAAGTGAATAAAGTGAAGCACACGCACCTCAGTTTGATCTGCACTTGCGCCGTTTCCAGGCTCATTTCACCCGACGCCAATAGGTCCACGTCGGAAATCAATCCAGACAGTCTTTTACGATTGGACGCCTCGAAGACGCCCGAATCACCGGCGACGCTTTCGTCGGACACCGCAGCGGACACGGACCTGGTGTTGGTGCCGGAACTACTAGCCCTCGACCTGATCCCGGTAGGTGGTGGTGTTTCACTGATCGGTGACAAGGGTGGCGGCTCCTGTTGAGGCAATGACGCTGGTAGCTGCATCCCGGGCCTGCCAAGACCGCTACCCTGGGACATGTTGTTCGATTGCAACTCAACCGGCGGATGAGGACTGACCACGAGTTTCAGACGCTCCTGTAAACCATTTGATGAGCACGAGATCTGCTCCTGAGGAACGACACCTTGCTGGTGCTGCTGTTGCTGTTGATGCTGCTGTTGTTGCTGTTGCTGACTGAGCCTGAGTTCCGTTAAACGATCCTCTAACTGGCTTCCGTCCAGATGTGACGCAATACCGCTCGTTGTCGCGGCTGGTGTTACTTTCTGATGCTGCCGCCTTTGCAATTCCACTTGCTCATATGTAGGTGGTGGACCTATCGGCGCGTTCTCGTATAACGGCGACACCGGAGGGCTCACACTGGACAAGCTTGACCGCGGTGAGAGACTGGGCTGAGACCTGCCGGGCGACGGTGTGCCAATTAGGTTATTTTGTTGCTCGGAACCTCGTAACAGTCTTTCTACACGTCTGTGCAGGTCCACCATGTCGACCGGTCGCTCCTGTTGCGAGCTACCCGTGCTCAAGCACTGTGGGCCGCCGTAAATGTCCGTGAAACTCAACCCCGAACTTAGAGAGCCCTTGCTGCTGGTGGTACTGAGACTACCGAGGCTCGAGCTGCTGCTCACTGATAGTGTACTAGCGCTCAAAGTCTTCAGTTGACCCTCTAACATTGCCATTGAACGCAGGGCGTCTCTGAGCTGTTGCAACAGCAACTGCTTCTCCTCGTGCAATCGCACGCGGTCGGTGATGGTTTTGTTCGATAGCTCAAACGCGTTGTTGAGGTCCTGCTCAAGCCTACGGATCTCGCACTGGATCCTCTTCATGTCCTGCTGCGTCCTCGTGCGCGGCGTAATGCTACGTAATTCTCTCAGCAGTTGCTCTTTCTCTTGGAACAACAGTAACTTGTCCTTGTCGCTTTCGGTTTGACCCGGCATCACCTTCTCCTCGAGATCCGCCAACTGCTGTTGAATGTGCTGGATCCTTTTCCTCGCCTCATCATATTGCAGTCTCATGCGCGCCATCTCAGCCAATCGGGTGCCGATCGGCACCAGCTCGCCCGATAGATCGGTCTGGGAGGCCGTGCTGAGTTTCTCCTGTGGCAGACTGAGAGTACTGGCCTCCGGGCTGCCTTCGCAAAACTGAAGCCTCGTCAGCTCATCCTTAAGCTGAGCCAGCGACTGCATCAGTTCAGCTTTCTCCTTCTCGCCGGAGCTCAGGGACTTCTGGATATTGCGTAGTTCCGTCATGATCGCCTGCGCTTCCGTGATGTTGTAACAGCCGCTATGATGCCCGCTCAATTTCTGCTCCACACTAAAAAAGATGGTTGATGTGAAGAGGTCAGAGTTCTCTTCGTGGAGAACATGGAAATAATAACCAAGAAAGCGCGAAGAAAGTTTTTGAATAACGTTTTCATCCGAGAGTCAATGTTGGATCATTGAAATAATTCGCAGGGAAAATTGTTCATAGGAAATTGGTATAAAACTTTTTTTCCATCATTAAGAAGAATAAGTACAGAGTGAGGGCTAATAAGGGTATAATTGTATACTGAAGCTGATACGCAAATCAAATATAATGTAATTAATGACTTCAATAAGAATTAATATAAATTCATTAACTAAACACGTATGTTTTTCGGTCTCAGGTTTTCGTTGATCCTGTACTTGTCCTTTAT